GGGATATCTATTTCAAATCACGAACTATGAAGGATCTTTTTAGTAATATAAGTTCTCATTTAATTATTGCATTTTTAAAAGAATTAGATTTGTTAACTGATTTGTAAATAGGTTAATATTTTATTATTGGTAATTTAAATTAGTAACTGAGATTGTTAGTGGCTGTACCCTCAAAGGGGGTTGAAGTAGCGTAAAATTATTGTCCTCCTGAGAGGGTACGTAAGTCCCAAAACATTTAGTCAATTTAAGTGTACCAGGTTTTTAATCGTAGTATTTTTGTGTTTTTAATGTATGGCTAAATCTCAGTATAAACGCCAATGGCTGAAGGTATGGTGTAAATCCAGCTAGGGACCATGCAGGTAGCAAAGGCACTGTAAGTCCCCATGGTTCCTAGTATGGTGATCTACCTTCAGTTGTTGGCGATCTATAGCCCGTTTTTATATTGTATTGTCTTCGTAAATAAAATACATGTTCATGCTAGTTTTAAACTCCATCTGTGATACTCTAGTTATTTTACAGTCCTTCGATGACTGATTATTTAGCAACTTAAATTTATTGTTTATGTAAAACATGTCTCGCCACTATATGGCTGAAATATTCCCGAGGTGACGTTAAATTTTAACTCACTCACTCACTTTAAGAAGATAGGAACATTTTTTTATCAATGATAAGTCTCTGCATGATAATAACTTATAGAATCCTTGTGGGGTTATTGATTTAAAAGGAAGGTACATACAATTTTCTAAGTGACTCATAACGTGGACAAATGAGAGTTATATGATATTCATCTTGTATCTCATGTAAACCACAACGTGTGCAGGTTATAGCGTTTATGTTATCATTGTTACATTGCCTGTACTACTGGACTTTGAGATTATGAGACTGACATCTTAATTTAACGAATAACCTTGATAAATCTTTAGGTAAAATATCTGAAAAAACATATGATTCAGCTTCAAAGACAGTTTTAAAGGATTTATAGAAGTAAAGTGTAATGTGTTGACAAACGTGACACATCGTGACATACAGACTAAAAGTTCAAACAGCACTAGCAAACATCAGTTGTATAGACCAACCTCCCAATGAAAATGACAAACATGAAGCACTCGGTCATGCAGTATCTTGTGTACCCTCCTCGCGCATCCAAGACACAGGTGCACCTTGTTCTCATGCTCCTTATCAAGTTCATAAAGAAAGCTTTGTGAATCGCATTCCATTCCTCTACTAGAGCTCTGCGGAGTCCTGGGAGATTCACTGGTGCTGGGTGACGTGTGTGCACACGTCGACCGAGTTCATCCCAGGCATGCTCAATTGGGCTGAGGTCTGGCGACCATGCTGGCCACACCAACCGCTCTACATCCTGCTGCCTTAGGAATTACGTGACAATCCTGGCCCTATGAGGCCAAGCGTTGTCGTCTTGCAAAAAGTAGGGTCGATCATAAAAAGCCATGCATAGCTTGCAGTACTGGTACTGCTATAGGAGCCAGAATCTCGTCCCGATAACGCTGTCCGGTAAGATTATCGTCGACCACAAATTAGTTGAGTACGTCCAGTACGAGTTATCCCTGCCCAAACCATGACCGACACCGTTTAAGGAATCTGTTACATAACGCAGTGTTAATCATGTGTCTATCATCTCGGACTGTTGTGACTCTGGGGCGACCTGGTCGACGTGCATATTCCACGGACCCATTGGTTTGAAATCTCTGCCACAGTCTACCAATAGCACTATGACTCACATTAAGTGAATGAGTGAGAGTTTAGTTTTACGCCGCACTCAGCAATATTCAAGCTATATGGCGGCCGTCTGTAAATAATCGAGTCTGGACCACACAATCCAGTGATCAACAGTATGAGCATCGATCTACGCAGTTGGGATACGATGGCATGTGTCAACCAAGTCAGCGAGCCTGACCACCGGATTCCGTCAGCCGCCTCTTACGACAAGCATGGGTTACTGAAGACCAATTCTAACCCGGATCTTCACGGGTCGACTCACATTAAAGCGGACAGCAACCGGAGTTTGACCAGATTTCAAAAGGCCTATAGCGTGACCCCTTTCAGCAAGAGTAAAAAACCGTCTCATTTTATGCTGCGATTTAAAACAGGTACGTGAACAGTGTAAAAGCATCAAGCATGTATGTATATTGTCCTCCACTTTCTATGGATAGAGTGACTTGCACGTGCAAATCATTGACATTAAGTTCCATATTGACAACCTAAATAAACAAAATGTGCCATTTGTACCAGAATGTATCGGACGTTAAAGAACGTCACAATGACAGTTCAACGGCCTGATGTGTTTTCCATAAAACATTCAGCTGTATATACACTGTATATAAAAACGAAGATTTTAGATCTTTTAAGAAGTAGTGTTACCAATAGCTTGACCCTTCATTAATGACGCCGAGTATATTTATATCATACCAGTAGTGATTATCCTGGGTATAAGGATATACCCATAAGGAAGAGATAGCTACCTTGAGATGGTGATTATCCTGGGTATAAGGATATACCCATAGGAAGAGATAGCTACCTTGAGATGGTGATTATCCTTGGTATAAGGATATACCCCTAGGAAGAGATAGCTACCTTGAGATGGTGATTATCCTGGGTATAAGGATATACCCATAGGAAGAGATAGCTACCTTGAGATGGTGATTATCCTGGGTATAAGGATATACCCGTAGGAAGAGATAGCTACCTGGAGATGGTGATTATCCTGGGTATAAGGATATACCCATAGGAAGAGATAGCTACCTTGAGATGGTGATTATCCTGGGTATAAGGATATACCCACAGGAAGAGATAGCTACCTTGAGATGGGGATTGACATTTCGCTCATTGGAGAACGTAACACTTTCTCAACATTGATGTTGGGAAAGTTTCAGTTTCTTCAGGCGGACGTGGCAGTAGTTCTTTCTTGTCTCATCTATCTTTGATTGCTTTGTTTGGAGTTTCTTTCCGCTGCATTTCCCTGTTAAGTCTTCTTTGTAATCTCAACTTATCATTTTCAGTTTTCGACATGTTAATCAGTGTTGAGATATGTAGCTCTTCAAAATTTGGTCCATTACGCAGTGTTCGATTCAGATACCTTGATTTCAATAGGTGGTTGGGCTTTTCCTTATTTCTCCCATCTTTGAAAATGGTATTTTAATGTGGGCACTTGGACAGGCACATTTGGATACCAATCCTAAATATTGCAAAGATTCTAAATTCTTGTATATATCTTCCATGTTTGGATTACTAGTTTACAGCTATTAAGTTATGGACATGACAGCATCTATGGCGAATAACATGGGGGTACAAACAGCTTTTGGTCCCTCATACGAAGTTTTGAGCCTAAAATACTTCTGGTATGTGCATGATAAAAATAAACATAAACGTAATATTGCCATGCATATGTCGCTAGTTTCCGATCACGTGACATCTAATTACATGCACCCCTATTGAAAAGGCAGAAATGGATAATTTTGACTATACAGCAGTCATAAAGTTTTAGGTCCTCGAGGGCCACCCGGCGAAGCACATTGAGGAGCGATTGACAGCAGTACGGGTCCAATGGGTTGCATGTCAATATTACGTTTATGTGAATGATATAAACCATTCTTCAATATCATACAGTAATATTTATCATGCAAGTATCAGAAGTATTTTAGGCTCAAAACTTTTTGACAGCCCTCGTATAATACCAATGGTCATGAATCAGACCGAAAAGAAAGTCAGTGTTGACACATGACACAATCAGCTGCTTCTTTATTTAATCCTACATTTCGTGAAGCATTTGACTTTTGAAGCTTTTACTAATTTCGTTGCTATGGATATTCTGCAATCCAAATTCAATATTACCCATAGCCGGCTTTTCTTGGACTATTTGAGGCAGTGAATAGTAGCGGCCCCAAGAGAGAGCCCTGGGGCATACCGTCTGTAGATGTTTAAGGGACTGTTCATAATTTATAGCTCTGTGTGTCTGTCTGTCTGTGTCTGTGTGTGTGTGATGATGACTTTCATGGAGAAGCATGTACAATGTGAATGACCCCCCCTAAAATTAATGTACAAATTGTGATCCCGCCCTGCATGTCATGTACAAAATCAATGACACCCCCCCCCTTTCCATAATTTTAAGCATATTTTATAAATATTCTATGTACAAGATTCCCGACTCCCCTGCCTCCCCAGAACAAAGGGGTCCAACTCTCTCTCCCCATCAGACTTGTAACTCTGTACAACACGTTTTATTCTATTTGGCGGAAGATATGAACATAACCATATGAGAATGTTTTCAGTAATTCCATATTGTTTGTAGTTTATAGAGGAAACAAATATGCCAAACATAATCGAAGGCTAATGTCACAGAACACGGTTCTAACCTCCTCCCATGTATCATAAATATAAGGTAGATTTGCAATAGAGTGTGCAAGTATAAATCCAGACTGCAAGTTTGTCAGAACATGATCTCTGATTGTGCTGTGTGGTACCCATGAAGAATACTTGTCCCTGCACACTTAGACACCATGCTGCAGTTGAACATGTCCAAGTTGAGCGTGTGTGTGCGTGCGTGCGTGCGCGTGAGTGGATAGACCCCGAGGAGACATAGCTGGGGCCTCAACTTTATAAAATCCATCAATGACCAACCAGGGATCAGACTGAATTTCACAGCATATCAATTTGGACTTGGGAGAAAATATCAATGTCACCAGTTTAGAGAAATTTCAAGTATAACGTATAGTTATGACAAAACTAGCAGCATGGTCAGACCAAACTGTGATTTGGAACAACAGTGTAGGTTTTTAACAGTTCTAGGTTTCTAGCCTGTTTAAGGGATTCAGCTATGCATCGTGTATGACTGAGCCACCCATGTTCCCACAAAGGAACACAATGGCAACTCTGGGATTCAAACAAATAAACTGCATATTATGGGATGCTCTGTGAAGTAAGGTGCCTCTGACATTTGGTCAGCTTGTGTTTCTAGGATTCAAGGAAAGATGACAAAAACATACTTCACGATAAGCACTTTAATAGAATACAGTGTACTTGAGTGTAGGCATCTCTGGCCAAAAATAGGTTTTTAGGCACTCTTGACATCTGTATATATAAATATAACAAATAGGGTTTCATATGGAATGAGCACTACAGGTAAATGTCAGGAGATTGGTTTGATTCAAATTGTTTTCCTAAGTACTCAGATTAACAACTGTGGTGTGAGACATCATAAAACCTTGTTCCACCGTCTTTGTTCTGTAGGTGTTGACATTTCTCTGTCTAACCGAACACCGAGAATGGTATCATGAAGACATCTCTGACTGAATGGATCTTGAATGTCACGCGATCTACACACTGAAACAAGGTGAAGGTCATTGGACAGACCAGGAAGTGCAAGAACATAGTGGCTTCACTGTGACATACACTACCATTCCTACACCACACAGGAAATCAACACCACTTGTGACCATAACAATTCCATACAATATAAGAAACATTTATGCTACATTCATAAATACTTAACAAATAAATACTAGTTTTACTAAAACATTCATTAAGAAATAAAGCCATTCACAGATCCTTGTTGAGGTACTGCTGTGAGTTATTAATGGTGACATCAGAAATTCTGCATAGATAGTGACAAACTAAAGATGTCAGGTCATGTGCCATGATGTGAAGTTGTGATGGCATGTCTTTCTGATGGGTCGTTCCATGGATGTGGTCTAGAAGTTGAGGGAGTCAGCTACTGCTGGATAGTGCTCAAAGAAACCCTGCAACAGTGAGTGAGTGAGTGAGCAATGTTACAGAGATACCAATGCAGAAAATGAGCATGCAACCTAGTGGTTGATAGCATCAGCACAGATCCCTACCATCAGGACAGGTGTTCCATCTGACATAATCCATGAGCACACATCCCTACCATCAGAACAGGTGTTCCATCACGGTACATCTGACATAATTCATGAGCACAGACCCCTACCATCAGGACAGGTGTTCCATCACGGTTCATCTGACATAATAGCCTTTGGAAGGTTTGTATGATATTACAGCCAATATCATATACATAGTAAAAACACCGTACATCGCATGAAGCATGGTTTACCTGGAACAGCACGATGGCTTGGTGGACACTGGACGTGCATCCCATCTCCCGGATGGAGTGCATGCTGAGTTGGGGCGTCCCCACATCAATGGTCTGCATCCCCAGCTTGGCAGACATGATCGGGCCGATGGTGGACCCACACGGAGAGTCGTTCCTCACCACAATGTCCTGTGAATTACACATCATCTGTCTATAGTGTTGGTACACCCTTCATTAATCTGCCAGTCTTGTAAATACTGACCCAGAACTGATCTGGGCCCACCTGCACAGAGCAAGCTAAGTTACATTCAATCTCATGTGCATACAATCAACTTAATAATCACCTTACAATTGTCACTTTCACAAAGACTTGTGACACAGATTGGATATAGCATGGCTGATATAGGAAGTAGGCCCAAGGTCTTCCTCCACAAGTAATCTCTGAACTTTGACTGTCAATACATAATCCAAGCTTGACATGTCCTTGAAAAAATTGTCTCTGTTCAAGCATTTACATTTATAGACGTTGACATCAACTTCATTTTCCAGATGTAATAGTGTAAATGTTAGTCAGCCTTTCATCATTACATCTGTCTTCATTACCTGCCTGTACTGACACCAGTCATCTTTGACCCTTCATCACACCCATTCAATAACGCCTGACATCACACCCATTGTCACACACTCATTGACACCTGTTGTCTCTTACCTGTAAGACAGACATATGTCATCCCTCACCACACACCTGTACTGACACATGTGATAACTTACCTGCAGGGGAGCTCCAACCCGCTTGGCTATCTCTCTCAGAATTGTAGCAGTGATTGCAGTTGTTGCATAGCGCTGGTTACAATTGAACTTCAGGACAATTCCCTTGAAAAAAAATAAACAAGCAAAGTTATGCCTACTTAAAATATGGAATGATGGTTGGGTTGCTTCCCGATATATGGAGTGCTGGCTGTGTGCCTACTTAAAATATGGAATGCTGGCTGTGTGCCTACTCAATAGATGGAATGGTGGCTGTGTGCCTACTCAATAGATGGAATGCTGGCTGTGTGCCTACTCAGTAAATGAAATGCTGGCTGTGTGCCTACTCAATAGATGGAATGCTGGCTGTGTGTCTACTCAATAGATGGAATGCTGTCTGTGTGCCTACTCATAATATGGAATGCTGGTTGTGTGTCTACTCAATAGATGGAATGCTGGCTGTGTGCCTACTCAATAGATGGAATGCTGGCTGTGTGTCTACTCAGAATATGGAATGCTGGCTGTGTGCCTACTAAGAATATGGAATGCTAGCAGTGTGCCAACTCAATATATGGAATGCTGGCTGTGTGCCTTCTCAATAGATGGAATGCTAGCTGTGTGCCTACTCAGTATATGGAATGTTGGCTGTGTGTCTACTCAATAGATGGAATGCTGGCTGTGTGCCTACTCAATAGATGGAATGCTGGCTGTGTGCCTACTCAATAGATGGAATGCTGGCTGTGTGCCTACTCAATAGATGGAATGCTGGCTGTGTGCCTACTCAGCATATGGAATGCTGGCCGTGTGTGTACTCAATAGATGGAATGTTGGCTGTGTGCCTACTCAATAGATGGAATGCTGGCTGTGTGCCTACTCAGCATATGGAATGCTGGCAGTGTGTCTACTCAGCATATGGAATGCTGGCTGTGTGCCTACTCAATAGATGGAATGCTGGCTGTGTGCCTACTCAATAGATGGAATGCTGGCTGTGTGCCTACTCAATAGATGGAATGCTGGCTGTGTGCCTACTCAATAGATTGAATGCTGGCTGTGTGCCTACTCAGCATATGGAATGCTGGCCGTGTGTGTACTCAATAGATGGAATGTTGGCTGTGTGCCTACTCAATAGATGGAATGCTGGCTGTGTGCCTACTCAGCATATGGAATGCTGGCAGTGTGTCTACTCAGCATATGGAATGCTGGCTGTGTGCCTGCTCAATAGATGGAATGCTGTCTGTGTGTTTACTCAATAGATGGAATGCTGGCAGTGTGTCTACTCAGCATATGGAATGCCGGCTGTGTGCCTACTCAATAGATGGAATGCTGGCTGTGTGTCTACTCAATAGATGGAATGCTGGCTGTGTTTCTACTCAATAGATGGAATGCTGGCTGTGTGCCTACTCAATAGATGGAATGCTGGCTGTGTGTCTACTCAGCATATGGAATGATGGTTGTATGCCTACACAATATATGGAATGCTGGCTGTGTGTCTACTCAGCAAATGGAATGCTGGCTGTGTGCCTTCTCAATAGATGGAATGCTGGCTGTGTGTCTACTCAATACATGGAATGCTGGCTGTGTGTCTATTCAATAGATGGAATGCTGGCTGTGTTTCTACTCAATAGATGGAATGCTGGCTGTGTGCCTACTCAATATATGGAATGCTGGCTGTGTGTCTATTCAATAGATGGAATGCTGGCTGTGTGTCTATTCAATAGATGGAATGCTGGCTGTGTTTCTACACAATATATGGAATGCTGGCTGTGTGCCTATTCAATAGATGGAATGACGGCTGTGTGTCTACTCACCTTGTAGAATGCTGGCTGTGTGCCTACTCACCTTGTGGAATGATGGCTGGTGGTTGCTTTCATGCTTCTCTCTGGAGAAGAACAAATATCACAGATCATTCATTATGTCTCAGGTTTGTAAGTAAATCATCACCAACCATCTGGACAATGACATGAGGGTTTCATGAGTAAAACACAGCAGAAACATTAGTGATACTGGAGACCCATTGCTTCTCTCCCTTGTGTTTAACACAATCAATCTGTCAGATACAGCTTCTCTCCTTGTGTTCAACACAATCAGTCTGTCAGATACAGCTTCTCTCCCTTGTGTTCAACACAATCAGTCTGTCAGATACAGCTTCTCTCCCTTGTGTTCAATACAATCAGTCTGTCAGATACAGCTTCTCTCCCTTGTGTTCAATACAATCAGTCTGTCAGATACAGCTTCTCTCCCTTGTGTACAATCAGTCTGTCAGATACAGCTTCCCTTGTGTTCAACACAATCAGTCTGTCAGATACAGCTTCTCTCCCTTGTGTTCAACACAATCAGTCTGTCAGATACAGCTTCTCTCCTTGTGTTCAATACAATCAGTCTGTCAGATACAGCTTCTCTCCCTTGTGTTCAATACAATCAGTCTGTCAGATACAGCTTCTCTCCCTTGTGTTCAATACAATCAGTCTGTCAGATACAGCTTCTCTCCCTTGTGTTCAATACAATCAGTCTGTCAGATAGAGCAATCTCCTTGTGTTCAAACAATCAGTCTGTCAGATACAGCTCTCCCTTGTGTTCAATACAGACAATCTCCCTCAATACAGACAAGAATATAGCTTCTCTCCCTTGTGTTCATTACAGATAATCTCTCGAATATAGCTTCTCTCCTTGTGTTCAATACAGATAATCTCTCGAATATTGCTTGTCTCCCTTGTGTTCAATACAGACAATCTCCGAATATAGCTTCTCTCCCTTGTGTTCAATACAGACAATCTCTCGAATATAGCTTCTCTCCCTTGTGTTCAATACAGACAATCTCTCGAATATAGCTTCTCTCCCTTGTGTTCAATACAGACAATCTCTCGAATATAGCTTCTCTCCCTTGTGTTCAATACAGACAATCTCTCGAATATAGCTTCTCTCCCTTGTGTTCAATACAGATAATCTCTCGAATATTGCTTGTCTCCCTTGTGTTCAATACAGACAATCTCTCGAATATAGCTTCTCTCCCTTGTGTTCAATACAGACAATCTCAGAATATAGCTTCTCCCTTGTGTTCAATACAGACAATCTCTGAATATAGCTTCTCTCCCTTGTGTTCAATACAGACAATCTCTCGAATATAGCTTCTCTCCCTTGTGTTCAATACAGACAATCTCTCGAATATAGCTTCTCTCCCTTGTGTTCAATACAGATAATCTCTTGAATATAGCTTCTCTCCCTTGTGTTCAATAGAGACAATCTCTCGAATATAGCTTCTCTCCCTTGTGTTCAATACAGATAATCTCTCGAATATAGCTTCTCTCCTTGTGTTCAATACAGACAATCTCGAATATAGCTTCTCTCCCTTGTGTTCAATACAGATAATCTCTCGAATATAGCTTCTCTCCCTTGTGTTCAATACAGACAATCTCTCGAATATAGCTTCTCTCCCTTGTGTTCAATACAGACAATCTCTCGAATATAGCTTCTCTCCCTGGTGTTCAATACAGACAATCTCTCGAATATAGCTTCTCTCCCTTGTGTTCAATACAGATAATCTCTTGAATATAGCTTCTCTCCCTTGTGTTCAATACAGATAATCTCTTGAATATAGCTTCTCTCCCTTGTGTTCAATAGAGACAATCTCTTGAATATAGCTTCTCTCCCTTGTGTTCAATACAGATAATCTCTCGAATATAGCTTCTCTCCCTTGTGTTCAATAGAGACAATCTCTTGAATATAGCTTCTCTCCCTTGTGTTCAATACAGACAATCTCTCGAATATAGCTTCTCTCCCTTGTGTTCAATACAGATAATCTCTCGAATATAGCTTCTCTCCCTTGTGTTCAATACAGTGAGTCTCACACTAAAACACAGTACCTCCAGGAAATATTTTCATCATCAATATTTTTACTTGCTCCTTGACTGTGACAATTTGTAAATGGCGTAAGTGCACACATAAAAACAAATATGAATCTCACAGTAAGGAACTAGACGGGACAGACAACAGAGCTCCACACAGTGAAGCCGACAATGCTAGAACTGTGTAGAGAAGTTCAGTAAACTGGCTTCAAACTTTTAAACCACAGGCAAACTGAAGAGGAAGCTTCTATGTTCTTCTTACACATTGCTAATTGCCAGTTTGATTAGATTAGAAGTCAATGTTCATCAAAGCCTAAACAACGACATATATATGCCCCATATGCTTTGATCATAGCATGTGCATTACCTAGAATTGTTGCATGGTGCACCCAAAGGGTCAAAATAATCTTACAAACAAACACATTTATGACTATATCGTGGTTAAAATTCATAGGTGTTGCGATACTTTTTTCAAAATTGGTTATCTATATCTGTTTCGATTGACACTTTGAGTCAGCCTGTTAATACTAAATAAACAATGCATGAAGTACTGTACTGGCTATATTCAAATATTCATAATGGCGACATTCTCAACTGAGTGCAATACAGCATTAGGTGAGAAACATATACGGTTATTTTAGATATACAGAAAAAACTTGAAGGTTGATTGTATGCAGTAAAGCAGGACTAACAAAACATTCCACTCACGAGTAGTTTGGGTGGACAGCGTGGGCCTGGTCAGCGCTGATCATGTACGACTTAGCAATGGCTTCCTCAAAGGCTGTTTGGTTGTCTGGGCTTGAGCTGATGCGACGCAGAACCAGTTCTTGAAATGTAGACTGGGCTCCCTGTGCACTCTGTGACCCGACCTGTATGATCGAATGAATTGTTTTTTGATAGTGCCCAATTTGAAACAATGTAGAAGACTTATCACAAGGTACTACAACACACTCAGATCACAAGAGCATGTACTGACAGCAAGCAATCCCAACTGTCCTCCTGTTGACAATTACCAAGACAGAATAATCTTATGTATTGATAAATATCTTCAAATTCCAAATGAGTATAAGGTCACTTACCTCCTCGTTGTCGAACAGACTGATCATTCGGATGCTGGGGTCCGCTGCAAGACTCCCGTTACTGCAGGACTCAATCAGTGCCTGGAGCATACAGACAGGTTAACTGCTGAACAATACCCTCCAAAGCTAGCCACAGTTGACACTGGCAATGTCTTCCTTACAACTAGCTCTGAGTGAATCAGTTTAAGGTGCTTCAGTACAAATGATCTTACCTCACATGCAGCATAGGCGTTGAACAGGTTGTCGAGTCGGGGGGAAAATATAAACTCCTCCAGAGCCCCACCAATTGCCTGCAAGGACATATACAGTAACTCCTCTAACAAGACATGGCTCAGGTATATAGGACGGGACATTAAGTAAACTGTAAGTGGGACTGTACCACATTTTCAGAACCTTGCCCACTGTTTATGCAACATTTTTTAAGGCCGCTCCCATGTTCCCTATCCACACACAACCCATCTTCAAACACAAACATCATGTTTTCATCCCTCTCTATGTTATGTGACTGGTCACTCCATATGAGTGAACATGTTTAATAATTAAAAAAACTTCACGAAATGAATCAAGATTTCTTGATACAACAGCAGTCACAATTATTAGAAAACTGAGACTACTACAGTGGCCACTTACCGCAGGCTGTGTGTCAGACAGACAGAGCTCAAAGTCCAGCATCTGATCTTGTTTAATGTTCAGCTCCTCACAGATAACCTTGACCAGCGCCGGGGCATGCTTCTCTGCCTGGAACATCACAGTCACAGTGTACACAGCTGCCAGGGATCAGGCCACATTGGTATATCAGTAAAGACTTGATCGTCCACACAGCATTAAACCATCCTGAAAGCGACTGCTGTAACCAAAGACGGGGTAGGCTTCAACACGCCTGAGGCCAGACTCCTCTCATGAGCACAATGTGTGAAGCCAATTTTTGATCCTGCTGCCATGATTTTCTAGAATTTTGCCACAAGCCACAACCATACTCACTGAGTCACTCTTGAAGGGAGAAAGATATTGTCTTGTACCTGATTCCTCTGTGGGATGTCTGCCTCGGACTGTTTTGGGAGGCCCTGTAACTCTGACTGAACAGCTGAGGCAATTACTGGACACCTGCAAACACATGACACCTTCCAGCAGATCATGGTGGATGAAACAACCCTTTCACAGGTCATGCTGGACAAACAGCTCCTCCGCTCAACACAACACAATGATGACATTGTATCCGAAAAAGGTCATACAGGGCAAAGCATGTTTACAAATAATGGTCACTGTCTTTGTACTGTAATCGGAATCTAAAGTACAGTTTTAGATAAACCCCTATACGATGCTGTCACATGATGTCACTTGGCGTGTTTTCAGTATCAGCCATGCTTTCTGTTGAGAAGTAAAACTGAGTTGATGTTCCTGAGCCTTGCTTGTGTTAGTTACGACGTCGACAAAACATAACAGTCTTGACACAAAATATGCCAGTAAACAGAGGTAAAATAGTTGCGCACTCCAGTGTCGGATGAGTCAAAGTTTCATCATTGGGACTATATACATGATCACGGTGCAGGTTCATCTTGATAGGAGTATTGTCCAGTACCGTCGCCATATAGCTGGAATATTGCTGAAAGCGGCATAAAATTAAACTCTCTCACATGTCTAGTACATGGGCCTAAGACTTGGTGTTGTCTCTCAACCTGTGTGGATTACCTGGACAGGGTTATGGTAAAGTACCTGTGCCACAGACTCACCTTGCTGTTTACATACAATCTATGTAGCATGGGGGAACACCAAGAGTACTACAAAGGCCCAGGAAGTATGAGCGGACCTCAAGTGTAGCATGAGTGTACAGTATTCCCAGAAGTTATTGAGAAAGTTGTTTTGGAAAATATCTAATACATGAATCTAAATTCTAGAAGTTATACTTAAATGAATATGTTGAGATATATTCTCTTACAGCCTAAGTGTCTTTTCAGTACTTTGTGAGACCTCCTTGCCTTGCAATACACGACTGAATGCACCTAGGTACACTACTGATCAAAGTTTGTTGGAAATCGTGTGACAGCGTATCCTAATATTCTACAACTTCTTTTTCATATCCTCAATATTGCTAAGTCAATATTGGTCTATTCTGTCCTTGATCAGTCGACACACATTCTCAATAGGATCTGGACTCTAGCTGGGCCAGTCTACAAATTGAACATTTTTGTCCAATACAGTAACCGCCGTTTTGTGCAGCCCGCAGTGTGTTTTGGGTGGTTATCATGCTGGAAAATCCAATGATCTTCATACAGTGTTCGGGCTGTTGGAAGGAGGTGATCATTTAAGATGTCAACATACCGTTCCATATCAGATTCAAATTTCCAGTAAAAATACCCAACGGCGTCTCTGATGGCGTGATGATATCACACCCTACATGTGAAATTTCGGGCTATGTTTTGGGCTTTTTCAACAAGTTAATTCTTTGTAATTCTTGTCTAAGGGATTCAATACATACCTGAGGACTTCCTCTATGAATCAACTCATTTCTGATATTCTCAACGCTTTTCAGTTTTCCCCTACTCACAATCTGACCAAGTCGCCGGTGATCCGCAGTGCTCAACTTCCTTAGCGTCCCTGGCCCTGTCATGTGCTCAATCCAAACTCCTGACTGAATATTCTTCAAAGTTCTGTATACTGTAGACGGAGGAATGTCATGTCTACCAGCTAACTCTTTTGCATTAGTCACACCCCTTTAAAAATCATATAGAACCAGTTTTCTTTTCTCTTCTGGTGTCAAATCTGCTATGTCAACAAAGGCAGCCGTTTGCTACACCAGGGGAGATAACTCTTGATGTAATAAGGTTCATTCTTATTGAGTACCTTACTAAATAATGTAACACCTATTTCATAATTCTAATAACAGCATTAGGAAACAATGATCTTCTCAATAATTTCTGGGAATACTATACCAGAGTGGTATACCTAAAGCGGTGACAGCCCAGGTGTTCCGAGGGGACACCCAGAGTGGGGTGAAGGCCCAGGTGGTGTGAGGGGACACCCAGAGTGGGGTGAAGGCCCAGGTGGTGTGAGGGGACACCCAGAGTGGGGTGAAGGCCCAGGCGGTGTGAGGGGACACCCACAGTGGTGTAACGGCCCAGGTGGTGTGAGGGGACACCTAGAGCGGTGTGAAGGACCAGGTGATGTGAGGGGACACCTAGAGCAGCGTGAAGGACCAGTTGATGTGAGGGGACACCTAGAGCGGCGTGAAGGACCAGGTGATGTGAAGGAACCCAAGAGATGTGAAGGCCCAGGTGGTGTGAGGGGACACCCGGAGTGGTGTGAAGGACCAGGTGATGTGAGGGCAGACCTAGAGTTGTGTGAAGGACCAGGTGATGTGAGGGGACACCCAGAGCGGTGTGAAGGCCCAGGTGGTGTACGGAGACACGTACAGGGGTGTGAAGGCCCAGGTAGTGTGAGGGGACACAGGGGTGTGAAGGCCTAAGTGGTGTGAGGGGGACACCTGGAGCGACATGAAGGCCCAGGTGATGTGAAGGAACCCAAGAGGTGTATGAATCCCCTGGAGGTGAGGACACTAAGACAAGTGAACCTCCTTGTTCCCAACACTTACAGATGGTTCTCCTTGTTGGGTCCAAAGCTGTCGTTCATGTCCCGCTGCAGGTGGATGGCCAGGTTGGGGATCCTCAGCAATGGGCGCTGGATGTGCACAAGACGGTGGTTGATCTTGTCTCCCTCCTGGAACATTGCATCAGCAGTCGAATCTGTATCATACTTGATCATCATCATAGAGTTGGGTGAAAGTTGTTTATAACTCAGTACTAACATTTTCTAAACAGTTGAACCAGCAAAGTCTCACCTTGACAAGGACTCTTCCTGCGACTGTTAGGTCACGATCAAACCAGGTGTGCCAGATTCCCCCACCATACGGCTCCACGCCCACCATGCAGTAGCCACTCTTCACCTTCCCCGAGATGGGCTTCACCTACAACATTATATTTTCTGGATATCAATGACTGCATCAAAACCCTTTCCAACACTGACGACTAATAAGTGTCCTCATTACCTTGAAGCAAGGACTGTCTGATTACAACACTGACAAGACTTATTGTGATAAGTGTCCACATTACCTTGAAGCAGGCACTGTCTGATTACAACACTGACAAGACTTATTGTGATAAGTGTCCACATTACCTTGAAGCAAGGACTGTCTGATTACAACATTCACCTGACTTATTGTGACAAGTGTCCACATTACCTTGAAGCAAGGACTGTCTGATTACAACATTCACCTGACTTATTGTGATAAGTGTCCACATTACCTTGAAGCAAGGACTGTCTGATTACAACATTCACCTGACTTATTGTGATAAGTGTCCACATTACCTTGAAGCAAGGACTGTCTGATTACAACATTCACCTAAGTGTCCACATTCACCTGTCTGACATTCACCTGACTTATTGTGACAAGTGTCCACATTACCTGAAGCAAGGACTGATTAAGCAGGCACTGACTTATTGTCTGATTACACTGTCTGATTACAACATTCACCTGACTTATTGTGACAAGTGTCCACATTACCTTGAAGCAGGCACTGTCTGATTACAACATTCACCTGACTTATAGTGACAAGTGTCCACATTACCTTGAAGCAAGGACTGTCTGATTACAACATTTACCTGACTTATTGTGACAAGTGTCCACATTACCTTGAAGCAAGGCCTGTCTGATTATAAGACCTGACTTATTGTGACAAGTGTCCACATTACCTTGAAGAAAGGCCTGTCTGATTACAACATTCACCTGACTTTTTGTGACAAGTGTCCACATTACCTTGAAACAAGGACTGTCTGATTACAACATTCACCTGACTTATTGTGACAAGTGTCCACATTACCTTGAAGCAAGAACTGTCTGATTACAACATTGACTTGACTCATGACAGATGTCCACGTTACCTTGAAGCAAGGGCTGTCGGTATGAGCCCCAACAATGCTGAATGGACTCCCAGGCTTGTACTTGCCTCCTACGGCAAAGGCAATAATGGTGGACTGATTCTTGGTGACAAAGTACTGAAACAGAACACTCATCATGATCTAAAAACCTCAACCTATCAAACTGAAAATTTACGACAATCAAACAGAGATGCTTTTGAAAAGTGGAGCTATGCATAGTGAGATGTACTAACATTTCTCCAATTATTTTTAATGACAGAAATCCAACAACAGCTTTCAACAACAACAGCTACCTACAGTATGTACACTTATACTTTTCTTTACTGTAAGGGGGTATTGTACTGTATTTCTGTCAAGATTCAGTAGAAGTTCCTAAAACTGACTTTAACAATGATTACTCGTCAGGAATGCATTACTGTCTCATGCAAGCAGTGGTACAGATGTTACAAGGGATGGCTGAAAGGTTCTAAGCCTAACTGTGCAAGACTTGCACAAAGTCTATGGCTCCCATCTATTTTTCTACATAGTCCGTTTTGATGTGTACACACTTTTGCCAACAATGTGGCAAGGCCACGATACCGGTCAGGAAGAAATTTACTTCAGCCACCCTGAAAAAGTCGTCCACAGCTGACATGACGCCAACATGTACTCGGAAAATGATGACCGGCTAGTTCCTATTTCATTTTTGGGAACAGGAGGAAGTCTGACGGGGCCAAATCTGGTGAGTAAGGCGGGTAATCTAGCATGATATGGAACTTTCAGACAGTATTTAGACTATATAAGTAGGCTAGCATCTCTCAACTATCATTCCATCAAGCCAGTGGATGCTGACCTGTGAAGATCTGGGTAAGTCTGCTTGTCGCAAGGGGCGACTAACAGGATGTGGTGGTCAGGCTCACTAACTCGGTTGACACGTCATCATATCCCAATTGCATAGATTGATGCTCATGCTGTTGATCACTGGATTGTCTGGTCCAGACTCGATAACTTAAAGACTGCCGCAAAATAGCTGGAATATTACTGAGTGCGGCTTTAAACTTAACTCACTCACATATTCACCAGTGGTTGCATGATGACCATTTTTTCACTGTGTATTCAAGAGACCCCTACCTTGTTGTTTGGGGAGATTGACCAGTGTTCTGCATCTTTCAGCTCTGTGAACCCAGCAGCCACAAGACTCTGCTTCACTTCATCCACAGCTGAAGTAAATGTCATCTCCAGTAGAATAAAATAACACCTTGTATAGTCACATCTACAGATTCTGACATTTCTTCTCATTTTGAGCCATGACCAACTTGATGAGAACTTTTTCTAAGATAAGGAAGGATCAGCCAAGAGAAACAAACCTATCCTTGTTAAAAAATATTATATATCTCAAAACGCAGACAAATGATTTTGCACACCATCTGTTTAAAGATTGTCTTACTATGGAATTGGTAGAGAGAGATTCTGTGTAAACTATTCAGCAGTTGAAATGTTTGCCAACTTCAACAAAAGATTTGACTGTATAGGCTATGTACATATCGTTACCCAGACGAAATCCAGTTACCTGAATGCCCAGCTAGCATCTTGTGACAACCAATACAAGCTGGTCAGCTGCCCTGAGTGGACATCAAGACCTTATGGTTTTTCCAATGAATATCTGCTTGTCACGTTATATGAGGTGCTTGTCACATACCTGACGTGAGCAGGGCTTGGTGTTGAGGTATCACCATGCCCAGTCATTGGTGGGCCTCGTCCAACAAACTGACTACAACTGTCCTTAATCTATATTATAGTAAAGGAGTAACAATCAACTAAGCACTAGATCAGGGGCCTGGTCCTAAAATATACAATACAAAGAGCCCTGTACCGGGCTGTAAGGCTCTCTAAAAGCCATGAGACTATGAATGGGGTTGATATTGTCGATAATACAGAACTATCCATAACTGATGGCACATATAAATTATAATTTCTAGTTCTACTGACCATGAAATGGAGATGGACACTTGTTGATGAAAGAGATGAATTTCCTGGCTGTGGCCAAGATTGTTTCTTTCGTTGGTGATGCCTGCAAAAGAAAGTGATAAAGTCAGTGCATTCTGTTCAGGTAACCACAGTGACTGTCGACAGTGTCCGTCTCTGGTGTTTGATATGACAAACATGAACAAAAAGACATGGTCATCAATATCCATGGTCGTTCTTGAGACTTCTGCTGATGTCTCTGTTGATAATGGGATGAACAGGCGCTTGAATTTTTGTCTCCTTGTATCAGTCTTTTGAAGATATATCTTCAGGGCTCTGACCGAGCACAAGGATAGGTCTTCTATATCCTCTGGGCCGAGGATTGTAGATAGCGCTGGTACGTGGAACTGTCTATCTGGCAGACCAGGTAGTTGGTTCTAAGTCCTAGATGAACTGCAGCATGTTGCCCCCTGTCGAATCTGGTTTGCCCAAAGTCCAGCGCATGTATCGCTGATATTCGAGCTGCTGTGGCTAGCGCAAGCAGGAACAGAGTCTTCTGTGTCAGCAGCTCGAGGGTAGTTTGGTCTAGAGGTTCGTAGGCATCACTGGTAAGATGACGTAGAATTACATTCAGATCCCAGGCTGGAGATCTGAACTTCTTTTGCTGGTCCTCCAATTTAAAAGATCTCAGCAGAGCAAGTAATTCTGGTACTTTCGTCAACTTGATGCCTGTTTTCATGGTAATCACTGTGCTGATGGCGGCGAAGTATGTAGATAATGTCGAACCTTTCATATGTCTGGTCTGTCTAAGATGACACAGGTATTCCGCCACTTGAGGATGAGTAGCTTTCATCGCAATGAAGTCTTTCCGCCTTACATAAGTCTCAAACTTCAGCCACTTGTCATCATACATGTTACGAGTAGATCTGCGCAACGCTAGCGTTACTGCCTTAGCTGCCCTGGCAGAGTATCCTCTTTTCTTCAAACATGTTTTGATACGGTCCACACGTGTAGCTGGAACACTGTTGGGTTCCTGTGGACTTGCTTGGTGTGCGGATGTATGAGTAGGTTCGGTCAGTCTGGTAACTTGATTGTTGGACTTCCGAGATCTTCCATTAGGTCTAGGAACCATACTCTTGCTGGCCAGTATGGCGCGACCAAGGTCAGTTGTAGCGCCTGTGTCTGTTTGATCTTCAACAGTACTTTCGGTAGTAAGATCGGAGGTGGAAACGCGACATCAACCTTATTTTTGTAGGAAGCACTTGATATTTTTGTGTGAAATAGATGAATATATCCTTATCACCCAAGGTTAGTAAACTTAAAACTTTAAATGATATTACAGATAAAAATTACGTTTTTGTCTTACATCGTCGAAAACCCCTGATACCAGGATACAGTACTCAGTAGGGGTGCAGGCTAAAACGGAACCACAGCAAAACGGCACCAGGCGAAAACGGCACCATTTGGACATAACGGAACCTCCACTTGGCGAAACCGGCTACAAATCTTATGGTGAAAACGGCACCAAATAAAATTATAATTATTGGGAACATCTTATTTGTCATTATTTGTCATTAGATAATCTGAATACAGAATTTTGGAAGCCGTCTACTCTGCCGACAGTGATTGGAAAGTTTGTGTTAGCTGATAATCGGATTCCAGTATGTTTAGATAATGAATGAGTCTGACTGATAATCGGCTTGTAGAATGTTTCGATAGTCAAAACATCTACTGTGCGAGAGTGATTGGAAAAGCCTGTAAATTTAGCATGAAAACATCACAACCTTTGATGTTTTAAGTACATTTACTCAACTCAGACTTATACAGGAAGGAAGGCTGAAGGCATACATCCGAAAATCCTCAACAGCTAGGCAGGAGGAGGTTTTCGAATTGTGGAGTTAATTCAAGGATGGAGACCTGTCTCTGTCGCAGCTACTGTCAAGATGTGCGATGATCCATGGACCAATCGTTCAAGCATCCGGCCAAATATGGACGTGTGAACATGTGTTATGTTGACGGTTTGTTATCGTCTTTATTATAATCTTGTTATTTTAATGTAATGGTTGATTGTGTGAGTTATGATTTTACGCCGCTTTTAGCAATATTCCAGCTATATCTTGCTGAAATAAAAACCATAAGTCAACGTCATACTGTGTTTTTTATATGTTGATTCTAATGTTATAATTAAACGAACTACAACATAAAAGTCAACATCATACTGTGTTTTGTATATGGTGCCGTTTTAGCTCAGAAATCAGTAGCCGTTTTCGCCAATACGGTGCCGTTTTCGCCGCACGATTTTGGTGCCGTTCTGCTGTGGTTCCGTTTTAGCTATAACCCACTCAGTAGTGCACTGACTGTGCTCTTTGGAAACTTTGTGTATTGCTTGCTCCTGTTCTAGCCTCATTTCAAACAAGGTCTCAAACCGGTTGTGTGTTGATGTAACGTTGTTCTGGAACTAATCATGGCTTTCTTGTTGTGTTGGGGGGATCATGTCTGTGGCTGTATCGATGTCCTTATTGAAATATAACAACAACAACAACAAACAAAAAATATGGACCTGAAAACTCCTATATATACTACACTGGAAAGTATTTATGCCCCAGTAATTCCGACAACACAAAACTGTCTCACCATTTGAGAAGCTTGTCACGAGTTTCCGCCTCTCTCCGAAATCTCCCTTCCCGGCCAATGTCAACGCTGGTATGGCAGTGTGTGGTCAAAACTCTGTCATAACGTATTATACCTTAGGTCGCGGGCAGGAGCTTGGGGACCCTAAACTGTGCTCCGTCTACAATAAAAAGCACAAAAAAGCGCCGAGAGACGGATATCGTGCGCCTGTTCTACCGCACACTCCTTACAGCGATAGTCGTTCTCTGTCAATCAAACTGAGCGTAAACGAAAGTATCAAGCGCTGGGATAGAGTTTTAACTGCCGCATGCCAAACTGGTAACACCGCTGGTTCAGGCACTCATGTGCGACAAGGGAACGAGCTGTTCTTTCAGAAGCAGACGAAAATGGCGAGTGGACGTCAAGTATTGTGTAAAGTTTTAAAGCAGGCTAGCTTGTTGAAGCCAAGGACACATAATGCCTTACCGTGCGTGCGGAATACGTCATCTGCAGATACACTTGAAAGCAGGTAAAACGTTTTTGTTCGGATAGAAATACGAAAGAAAACAAATGCAGCGAATGTGTTTTCTAGACTATGGTCCAAAGTTCAATCTTCGACCCCAGTCTTGTTATGTAAATGTGTAACCACTGTTTTCATGTTTGTCTTAGGTTGTATATTTAAAACCTTTTAGCTTTCATCCGAATATGCAATACGTTCATAATCTGTTTGAGAGTTAGTTTGATATCTTAAATAGATTTTGAAAATTGACAACGTTACTCCTGCATTCGAGACTCATTTATTGTTATTAGTCCTAACAGATATTTTACTTCTTTGAGTGGCATATTAGAAGTTGGGAAGTACAAAACTGATAAACTTAATGGATAACAACTTCTTGTATTTCATGAGTGCGACGTTTCAATATAGATTCTTGTAACGGTACATGAATCTGTATCGAAATGTTGCACTCACAAGTTGTTATCCATGAAGTTTGTCAAGATATTTTACGACTAACAACACATATCTGAAGAGTAACTTCTTAGACCATCTGTGTATTGTTGTGTGTTTCTCACCCCAGCCTCATCCAGCTGGAGAAATGCCTTGCGAAAGTTAAACATTATTTTAACTAGTGTTTTTTATCAATTATGTAACTTAATTATTTTATGAAATTTTAAATTTGTGCCATTTGGTAACTTTCCAAATATTTATTAATATTGGTTGATTAAGAGAGTTCATGATTCATAGTATTATTTTTATCATGTCCAGGCATTAATTTCCACCGTCAGTGAAAACTTAAATAAAAACCATTATTTCATGTTGGAATGAAAAACTTTGGCATGAGATGGCAAACACAGAAAAACACACGAAAAAACCTAAAGTGCATCCCATGCAAAGGAAGGTTCATCTCGAAGCATGTTTTGTTTGATTTGGATGACTTTGCGATTGCAAGGGATTCAGATATGTTCAAATCTAGAACAGGAAAGATCTAGGATGGAAAGTCTATTTTCTCGTGTGAACGGGCATATCCCACAGCCATGAGCCATGATGGGTTCAACAGTCAGGACATGACTGTACATCTACTTGTGTTTAAGCCAATTCATTGCTCAGCATTTGTAATACCGGTTATTGTGCACAACAGCCAGGAGCTAATGTGTTGGGGTTGATCTTGCTGGGGTAAAGTATATGAAGCTAGGGCTCCAGATAATTTTTCAATATCAGGAGTACGTACTCCTTATTTTTCAATATAGGAGTACTGGAGTACATTTAGAGTACTGAATGGAAAATAATGACGTATCAGTAATCTTGTGTTTTGTTTTATATATGCACCACAACATTGCTACTCTTGTGTAAACAGGTAAATAAAAAATAAAACAATACTTTTTCAGATAAATATGTCTGTAAATGATTTTAAGACCATACACCATTGCTGTGGTGCGTATCTGCTACGTTTTCTAAATTATTTCCTACCGTATCGTGCATATTTTCTATCCGTACATACGCCGATACAGCCCTTATCTGGAGCCCTGACAAGCTGAGATAATGCTAGTCCTGATGATCCCAGGCAAGTACATCTAGCTTGGATTATCAGCTATACAGTTTCTGATGTGGTGCAATACACTCACCCTCTTCCTTTGTAAAAAAGCCTGAGGTATGTTCCTAGTCAAAATTCACAATGTCCTGACTGAATCCTAATCAGTGCTAATGATCTGACACCAGGCAAAAGATTGATAATCAGAAATATCATTCATGGGAAGAATTTTTAATGATTATCTATGTGAAAATTGTGTCATAGATAATATCTTACATAAACTATTGTGAGGAAATAATGTTTTAACTTATTCACATGACAGTAACATAACATGTATGTCCATATTCAATGACTGCTTCAAAATTATGTTCAGAATGCTGCTTTGGTTGGAAATCCATGCATTAATTTATCATCCAAAACTGTGTTCCACAGGAGATATTGCTTGTGTGAGATCAAGCGATATCTCCTGGGAGATATCATTTTGACAGTAGATTTTGTACAATGCCCTGACATCATCATTTACTTGACTCACAATGCTGTGATGTCAAAAGCCTGATGAGGTCACAATGCTATGACATCGCTGCACTGCAAGTCTAATGGCAGTACCGTGTTCAGAGATGTACGTTTTTCATCGAAAACTAATGAAGGGTGATTTTTGATGATAAATAGAATCTCACCCTCGTGTCTTCTGATATCAAATATATCAACACTCGTTGATAAAAGTAAAAACTTCCTCAGCAAGCCTCTGATATTTGTAACTTTATCAACTCGTGGTGATATATTTGATATCAAAGGACCCGCCGTGATGTTGGTGGAATGTTGCTATAAGCGGTGTAATACCATACTCAGTCACTGATATCAAAGGACACTCGGGTGAGATGCTCTATGTCACCTCACAGCAATGACATGAAATCTGTTGTTTTCTCTCAGACTGCTTTTTTTTGGCTTTTTGTCAGTTGACAGACATTCAGTAATTCACTCTTTATTTGGGATAACAAACTGTAACATTGGTCAAAGAGTGAGTGAGTGAGTGAGTTTAGTTTTATGCCGCTTTTAGCAATAATCCAGCAATATCACGTTCGGGGACACCAGAAATGGGCTTCACACAATGTACCCATGTGGGGAATTGAACCCGGGTCTTCAGCGTGATGAGCGAACGCTTTAACCAATAGGCTACCCAACTGCCCCTGGTCAAAGAGACAAATGGCAAAAATGTTACTTTCATCATATATACAAACATACTCATGCAGTTGAAATCACTAACAAAGTGGGAGCCAAAAGTCAAGTTGACAGACTGTTGTTAACAACTATCACTCAATATGATCTATATTGATAGCCAGCCCGAGGCAATATAGTATTGCAGTGTGGGAATAATATTTTTAATATGGTAAAATTGATAAAGTATGGTTTTTGTTATGTAAAAAAGAACTGAAGGCAATTCTTCACATAATATATTATGTACAGACATGACTGAATCTGTTCTGACACTTGCTAGATTATTATGAAAGTGACAACAGCTGCTAGATTATTATGAAAGTGCTGATGGTGTGTATAATGGGGAACATGTTTTGTAGTGGTGGCGGGCCACATCGGATTGAGCCATCTCAAGCTTCCAGCTTGATGGATATTGGAACAAGGAGGATCTTCTCAGAAGAGCATGACATCTTCCGTCAAAGTGTTAGAAGATTTTTCCAGGAGGAGGTAACTCCTCACCATGCTCAGTACGTACATGCTGTTTTCTATAATGTTTAGTTTGTGTTTAGATGTATGGATGTTGGTTTATCATGTGGTTCCATGATTGGCTGATCATCAATAACGAATGACACTAGAAACAGCTTCAATTAGTAGCTTTTCATTGTCCCCCGCCTCAACTCGGAACGGGGGAATATGTATTCAGCGGCGTACGTACGTACGTCCCGATTCTTGTTAACATGTTGTACCCAATGTCTTCAAATTTGGTGACAGCCTACATTGGGGATTACCCAGACACCAGTCCATTTGGGTGACCTTGACCTTTTTTTCAACGTCATTACGACACTTTGACCACTTTTCAAAATGTTGTTAACATGATATCTCATGCAATGTTGTACCTAATGTCTACAAATTTGGTGACAACCTACATTGGGGGATAACCCAGGCACCAGTTGAATTGGGTGACCTTATCTTCAAGGTCACCACGACACATTGACCATTTTTCAAACTTATTTAAGAGCGATATCTCATAAAACATTGCACCCAATGTTTTCAATTATGTCGACAGCGTACATTGGGTGATTATGCAGGCACTAGTCATTTCAGGCATCTTGTATGTGACCAAAAAATAAAAATAGTCAATATCATTGATGGCAATTTTCCGCTGATCCGCGGATTTCCGCGGATTTTATTTCAAATTTATCAATTCTGTGCCCTCCTCAAGCCCCCATTTGATTAAACCTCAATAACATTTCAGCTGAAATTTGATTTTCCTGTTGTCATCCCTGAAATATAGATATTCCATTCTTTAGCAGCGGGGCACATTGCCATATCAGTGGCAAACACTTGTTATCTGTGCTGTAATTTAAACAAATATACTAGGACTAGCAATAGCTGCTGATCTCAAAACTTGATTATCACACTTTTTGTGTGTGTTTCTTTGACGATATGTTGCTGTATTATTACCTCCAGAATCATATAAAGACTAGTTATGGACAAGAGATTTCTTAACAGCTAGAATAACAGAATCATCAATGTCTATATATGAATTGCCTTTTGACTACTGTGCACAGGGACCAAGAAATATGTTAGTGTGTTTAATATAGTCAACTGTGCCTTGTTTTCCAGATGGGAGAAGGATGGCCAAGTTAGCAGAGAGGTGAGACAAGTTGTATGGAATATTATACATGTATATTTAGTTGTTAAGGTTATTACGCACTGAACTCACCCCATGCTTGTCGTAAGAGGCGACTAATGGATTAGGCGGTCATGCTCGCTGACACGTCATTGTATCCGAATTGTGTAGATTGATGCTCATGCTGTTGATCATGAGATTGACTGGTCTAGACTAGTTACAGACTACCACCATATAGCTGGAATAGTGCTGAGTGCGGCATTAAACAACAACCAACCAACTCACTGAACTGTGCACAATGGTTCTACAGTGCCCTGTCTTGTGTGGCAGATGAGACATATAGTCATAACTATACATGTGCAGATGGTTGCTGGGTGTTCATGTTATTTGTAGGTTTGAAGCTTTGGGAACAGGATTGGATGCACGGGTTGCTGGGCGTTCACATTGTTTGTAGTTTTGTAGGTTCGGGAACAGGCTGGGACGCACGGGTTGCTGGGTGTTCACATTGTTTGTAGGTTTGTAGGTTCGGGAACAGGCTGGGACGCATGGGTTGCTGGGTGTTCACGTTGTTTGTAGGTTCGGGAACAGGCTGGGACGCACGGGTTGCTGGGTGTTCACATTTGTAGGTTTGGGAACAGGCTTGGACGCACGGGTTGCTGGGCGTTCACATTGTTTGTAGTTTTGTAAGTTTGGGAACAGGCTGGGACGCATGGGTTGCTGGGCGTTCACGTTGTTTGTAGTTTTGTAAGTTTGGGAACAGGCTGGGACGCATGGGTTGCTGGGCGTTCACGTTGTTTGTAGGTTTGTAAGTTTGGGAACAGGCTGGGACGCATGGGTTGCTGGGCGTTCACATTGTTTGTAGTTTTGTAAGTTCGGGGAACAGGCTGGGGACGCCACGGGTTGCTGGGTGTTCACGTTTGTAGGTTGTAAGGGGAACAGGCTGGGACACACGGGTTGCTGGGTGTTCACGTTGTTTGTAGGTTCGGGAACAGGCTGGGACGCACGGGTTGCTGGGTGTTCACGTTTGTAGGTTTGGGAACAGGCTGGGACGCACGGGTTGCTGGGCGTTCACATTGTTTGTAGTTTTGTAAGTTTGGGAACAGGCTGGGACGCATGGGTTGCTGGGTGTTCACGTTGTTTGTAGGTTCGGGAACAGGCTGGGACGCACGGGTTGCTGGGTGTTCACATTTGTAGGTTTGGGAACAGGCTGGGACTTAAAGGGTTGCTGAAGCGTTCACATTGTTTGTAGTTTTGTAAGTTTGGGAACAGGCTGGGACGCATGGGTTGCTGGGCGTTCACGTTGTTTGTAGTTTTGTAAGTTTGGGAACAGGCTGGGACGCATGGGTTGCTGGGCGTTCACGTTGTTTGTAGGTTTGTAAGTTTGGGAACAGGCTGGGACGCATGGGTTGCTGGGCGTTCACATTGTTTGTAGTTTTGTAAGTTCGGGAACAGGCTGGGACGCACGGGTTGCTGGGTGTTCACGTTTGTAGGTTCGGGAACAGGCTGGGACACACGGGTTGCTGGGTGTTCACGTTGTTTGTAGGTTCGGGAACAGGCTGGGACGCACGGGTTGCTGGGTGTTCACGTTTGTAGGTTTGGGAACAGGCTGGGACGCACGGGTTGCTGGGCGTTCACGTTTGTAGTTTTGTAAGTTTGGGAACAGGCTGGGACGCATGGGTTGCTGGGCGTTCACGTTGTTTGTAGGTTTGTGAACAGGCTGGGATGCACGGTTTGCTGGGCGTTCACATTGTTTGCATGGTTTCTAGGTTTGGGAACAGGCTGGGACGCACGGGTTGCTAGGTGTTCAGACACCAGAGTCAGCAGGAGGTATTGGTGGCGATGTCCTGTCAACAGCAATTACATGGGAAGAACAGTGAGTTTGGACATAACACTTGAAATACAAATGGATTTCCTTGTAAAGCATGATTTTATTTGGAAACTAATTACTGAGCATGTGTTTTCAATGGTTACACATGGACTATTAAATATTGTCGATGAATATGTTTCTTTTGGAAATTGACAAAAACATGGAAAAACAATCCAGAGCCTTTTCTTCAGTTAACTTTCTGTGTATGTCTAGCCCCAGATTTCATGACAAATCACTTCATCAACGCAGGCATGATACTTCTGATGAGTACCTGTTGGAATCGTCAACATGAAAAACCATCACAGAAAATTCATCGTTTGTAGAGGTCCATGGGCATGGGATATACTGGTTTCCCAGTTACTATGTTGATAGTTGGAGGTAACACCTGGGAGAAAGTGGTCAGGTTCTCAATTTGTTGATGCATGTCATCATCTTATGACAACGAGAGATGTTAGTTGATTGTGTACATGAACTGGCTGGAATGTATCTAAGTGCAGCATTAAGAAACATTCACCTTTTGTAGAATGTACGGCAACAACTCTGGCGTAGGGTTTGCTCTACACTCGGACATCATCATGCCCTACATCACCAACTACGGCAGCAGGGAGCAGGTTGAGAAGTACATTCCTCGGATGATGGCAGGGACCTGCATCGGGGCCATCGCCATGACAGAACCGGGCGCTGGCAGGTCTCATTCATTGTTTATCAGTGGCAAAGTAGACATTATGTCAGTGCCAGGATGCCTATTAATAATTGTTTACTGTTTTTGAAATTTTGCTTCCAGCTTATGTAATAGAAAATAGTAATTGACCACTCATCACTTTATCTGTTGGGGCATTTTAATCAGCAAAGAGTGGAAGGTCAGTAGTTTGACCCATTGGCCCAGTCATAGCTGAGGATGTCAGTACTTGTTTGTGCTTGTGTGGCACTCAGCATGAAGGCAAGCACCTGTCAGGTTGGAGTTGGTGTACTGTGTCTCAGTAAGGTATCCATGTTATCCATAGTGTCTCAATGGGCCAGCACTACAACACCAACCAGTGTTAGTCCTGACTAGTACAGGAAGGCATACACACAAGTGCATGCACACCATTCTGTAAATGCACAAATTTTGAAGACAACATAAATCATTCATCTCAAGTGCATACATTAAGTTTTTGTGTTAGACGAGAAGTACATGTATGTGTCACATTTGTTACTTCACGTCGATTCATCTGGCTTCCATCCTACAACGTAACCTAGGAAAAATAGTAATATTCAAGTTTTTTGTCCATAAGAACTTGTCCTCGTTAATCACTACAACTTCTAATTGCCACTGAGAGAATGAATCTTGCTTTGTGATTCTTCCAGTGATTTACAGGGAGTAAGAACCAATGCCAAGAAGGATGGCTCTGACTACATTCTTAATGGCAGCAAGGTGTTCATCACCAATGGTTACATGTGCGACCTCGTCATCGTAGTTGCACTGACCAACACTGGTGCCAAGTCAGCAGCACATGGCATCAGTCTGTTCCTGGTGGATGCCGGGACCCCAGGGTTCATCAAGGGTCGCAAACTGGACAAGATGGGGATGAAGGCTCAGGTACTTACAGAGAATAACTCTCAACAGGCTTATGAACAGCCAGTAGTGTATAGAACCTGCAAAGCAGCTCTATGAGCTAAAAGTTCAAGCATAATAGTAGTTAAATTTATCTGTCCTATATACTAGGTGGTGACAGCTACTGGGTTGTGCATGTGACTGGACAAGGAGTTATGTTTCTTCCTTGAAGATCACTCTATGTCATGAACATTTTTGGACAGGGCATGGCCACTTATGCTGTTTCCAACCTCTTATTCACAGGATACGGCGGAGCTGTTTTTTGAGGATGTGCGTCTCCCGAAGGAAGCCCTGCTGGGAGAGGAGAACAAGGGATTCTACTACCTGATGGGGGAGCTGCCACAAGAGAGACTTATCATTGCAGACATGGGCATTGCAGCCTGCGAGTGGATGTTTGAGGAGACAAGATCGTACGTCAAACAGCGCAAGGCTTTTGGCAGGACTCTCTCAAACCTGCAGGTACTGTTGGACATCGCTTTAAAGATTTATTTTACATTTTGTCCCTGTCATGGTGTGTTTTAGGATTTTCTACATCGCCAGGGATTCACATTGTTTTCTTGTCCTCGAAAACACTGACAGAGTGTTGACCAAACTGTTCCAAGATTCCTTTCATAATTCATTACATTGAAAAATTCCTTTCCAAAATTGAACCAGTTTTGAAAGTATCCTATTTCCTTTTTGTCCTTCCTAAATCACAGATCCCCATGACAACCTTGAAACCTATGACTTGTCATTGTTGGTCTTGCAGTCCTGACACAAGAACACAATTAACATTTATAGTTTGATTATCAATATCATGTGGTCTGTTTTGCAAAAAAGATATTAAGACATGTCTAATACGCTATGTATAATCCGGATGTTGTTCAGACAATCCAGCACAAACTGGCAGAGATGAAGACTGATATCTGCGTGGGCCGAGCATTTGTTGATCAGTGTCTAGATCTGCACAACAAGCGGAAGCTGGACAACGGCATGGCCTCCATGGCCAAATACTGGTCAGTAGCAAAGAAAACTTCTTTAAGTGGCATTTTAAGTAGGAAAAAGTATTTATTACACAGCTCATATTCAATGTCTTAAGTATTGGTAAAAATCCATATATGGCAAAAATAATAAAGACAAAAATACACACAATAATGTTAAAATTTGGTTGGGAAAAGTGTGAACAATTTAACAAGACAACAATGCTGGGGTCATATCATGGAAGGAGAGTTTTGTTTGAAAGTTAACAAATATAATGTCTGAAAATATACCTGAATCCAGATGATCACCGTCTTCTTTGCTGTTACGGGTAAAAATGAATTATAAGGGTATACTCTCAATCGTATCACACAATTGAAGAGGATTACACAACAAACTGACTATGATGAACAAGAATATATTTCTACGATCCTAATAATATTTTATACCCAACGTTGTGGTCACCTTGTGGCATTAAACAACAAACAAACAAAACATATTGTGCCTGTAATGTTGTGAGGATGTGCTCCATTTTCCCGAGTTGGTATATTGTGTATCTATGGTAACATGGATTGATAAATGTCCTGATTGCAGGATTACCGACCTGCAACAAAAGATTGCCACCCAGTGTGTCCAGCTTCACGGGGGATGGGGCTACATGCTGGAGTACCCCATTGCCCGTGCCTTCGTGGATTCAAGGGTCCAGCCTATCTATGGTGGCGTTAATGAGATCATGAAGGAGCTGATTGCAAGACAGATTATATCGGACAAATAGACCAGTAACAGGTTAGTTTGTCTTCTTCCTGAAAGTGTTTGGCAATGGGTGTTAGGTTTCTCTGCAAGAATAGGACGGGAATGACTCATCTGAAAAGCAGGCCTTTTGTATATGATCGGATGTGGTATAGTCCGTTTGGCTCAAAAGCGGACCGATGAATTGCAACCTAACTCAAAAACTAATGAACATAAAATACTCAATGAAACGCTGATTATAATCAAAACATCAGACCAACTTTTCTCTGCACTCCTCCATCATAACAAATATTGAACTGTGTCAATATTTAATGATAGTTTGTTAAACAACTTATTTATTCCCCCTATTTTTATGATTTTTGGGGGTCACCCAATTTGTTATTTTGGGAGCTGGGGGTCATCAATTTTGTACACATGTACTAGGAGGGGTCAGCAATTTTGTGGGGGTCAAAAATATGTTTAAAATTATGCTTAGAAATTATGGGAAGGGGAGTGGGGGTCATTGATTTTGTACATGATGGGGGGGTTGGGTGGTGTGTTTACTTATTTTGTACATAAATTTTAGGGGGTCATTCACATTGTACATGCTTCTTCATAAAAATCATCATCAACCCCCAGCCATAAATTATGAACAGTCCCTTAGATTCCAATTCATCGGTCCGCTTTTGAGCCAAACAGACTAGTACCAGTTTGACTAACATTCTTTCAATTCACCAGATATAGAGTATAGAGACTATTGGCAGCGTTTGTATCTGCATCAGAAGTTCCTGTGTCTTGTTTTGAATAATCCATCTATTATTTTATATGATAGTTATGAAGCAGAAACAGCTAGGGGTAATATTTTTTTTTTTTCAGTCATTCTATAAATAAACAATGTTCATGATGTATTTTTGCCTAGTGGAGTATCTTTGGAAATAGTGTTGGAATATTGTAGTTGAGTGATCTGCCCATTTATGAATTGCCCCTGTGCTTGTCTGCAGAAACACCCATATTTCAACAACCCCTGTTTAAACTTGTTTTGAATATAAACAATAATTTGATGGTCATGAAACATTACATTTATGTACAGGGCTAAAAAGTAGCCTCTGTGCTGTGACCTCATTTGCTATTGTATGGGGTAACCAACTTTATCGGATTGATTTATAGCATTGATAACTCTTTCCATAATATAAGTACACCAAATAACCACTGTGCTATTCAGTACTGAACATGTAGTGAAGACAGCGACTTCAAGTCAAGGCCTAGCCATATCACCATGAGATGTTTTATGCAATAATCATGGGAACCATAACCACAGTATTGAATTGCCATTATTTAATTCAACTTTTGTTTGCAGATGAGCAAGTGATGTTCAAGTGACCTGATCCGGTAGAAACAAGTTGTTCATAACATTGACCTCACGTGAACAGTGGCTTGGCAATATCAGCGATGGCTCCCTGGACGTTACTTACTGCTCTGTATGGGTGTGTACCTCAGTATGGGTCTACTTCAAGATCCAGTTTCAAACCTCAGTGATGCCATCCCTCAGCAAATTCAAATTCAATGTACACAGTTTCTAGATTAAGTTTAACTACTCCTTGTATTGTTTGCCATTTTAGTGTTGTGTATTACTGTAATCAGATCTTACTTCACCCTACCACTGAACAAAAGTCTGAAGAAATCTTGTTATGTTTCATGTGAGAAACTCCTTTCATTATACCAATCACAGTGTTACTTTCAAAATTGAAAGGAGACAGTCGGAATGTGTTTTTGCAATCTTTCGACCTCAAAAACTTTCACTCCAGGTGTTCTGAGTGTCAGTTACACACTTTTCGTCTGTCTCCTTTCAATTTTGTATATGATCGCCATCACAAGGGCAGTCCATGCCATATGACACGAGAAAGCTGTTATTTATATTTGTTGATGTTAACTTCTTGTTGTCACTACACTGGCTGTGCAGTTGATAAGAAAGGTCAGTCTGATGTGGCCTGAAATGGTTTGTGCTCAGATTTTTGTTTATTGGTCCCTCAAGGTGGGGGGGGAGATTAATTTCTGACATTTATGTAGAGTAAGCTGTTGTTCATTGAGCTAATGAAGTCTCAGATATTGTGCATATAGATCAGTGTCTGGAGACAATAGTGTGTCCCAGTGTATCAGCTCCAATCATTAGAGTCGATGATAACCTTCACCTTCTGTACATGGTCTCAGATAGTAATGGAGTAGTTACAACATCTCCTTACTGTGATTGTTCATGATTTTAGTATGTTACATGATTCATCTATACTTATCCAGTATGTGTCATACTGATCAAAGTCATAATTTTTTATAAAAACTTGCTTCAATATTGTTTTTTGTTTGCCATGGTTGCAGATATTTGTATTCATATAATTAATTCCTTCCTGTTTCGTCAGGTAGCTCAATATTTCGGGAACTGATGTGGTGATTCACTTCAAAAGTGGGTTTGAAATTGAATGGCAGTCAGAGAACACTGACTGATCTTTGAGCAGTAATCCATGCTATTGGTATCAGCCTGATCACACATTGTGTCGTAAATTTTGCCAGGTACACACAGTGACACACAACCAGCCAGGTCACACACTGTGACACACAACCAGCCAGGTCACACACTGTGACACACAATCACCCAGGTCACACACTGTGACACACAATCACCTGGGTCACACTGTGACACACAATCACCTAGGTCACACACTGATGGTTGATTTGGTTGGTTGGTTGGTTGGTTGGTTGGTCTGTTGCTTAAGGCTGTGCTCAGCAATATTCTAGCTATATGGCGGTTGTCCGTAAATAATCGAGTCTGGACCAGACAATCCAGTGATCAACATCATGGGCGTCGTTCTACACAATTGGGATACGATGACATGTCAACCAAGTCAGCCAGCCTGACCACCGATTAGTCGATTAGTCGCCTCTTACAACAAGCATGGGTTACTGAAGACCAATTCTACCCCCAATCTTCACAGGTAGCATTTCATGAAAATGAAATACAACTGAAACACAAGCAACACACCCAGACTTTATAAGGTCCTGTATGTCAGGGCTTAAGTTCTACTTTAACTGAACAATCTACACAAAAATTCGAGAATTTTAATGTGTCATATTGTAAAAAATTTGTTTGAAAAGTGAAGTTCATTTACTTTCTATCAATTTACCCATTGATGTAACATTCTGAATAACTTCCTGTCGAGTAGTATAGGGAATAGTGGAACCGGACCGCATAGGTACACCATGCCTAGGAGCTCCATACTAACTAATTTGGCTCCCACAGCCACAAAAAAAATTAGTGTTTTTCACAAAACCATTCCGGACCACTTTTCGTCTCCCTTTGCAAGTGCATTCGAATTAGAGATATGCGGGAGTATGGATATAGAAAAAAAAGCCAGGAACCAAGCTATCGCGCGAAGCCTATGCTGAGATCTGATCGGGTCGTTTGTCCCTTCGGAAGCGAAGAGAAAGTACCACATATCGCAAGCCAGATATGCACGAATCCGAGGTGGTATAAACCCCAAGCCACAGACAACAACTTCCGACAAGTCTTCGAGACCCTGCCGGAGAAGTGTCCCCATGTGTTGCTTCCAGACCGAGAGAAACAAATCCTGGAGAAATCGGGACACACCTTCTAAGAGCGATACCAGATCCCTCTCAGTTCCTCGAGCTCTATTTGCTGTGCTTTCGCCAATTTGTAGAAGACGGCAAAATAGTTTATTACGTCTACATCTACCCACCCAACCAATTTCGACCCGCAGCAGGCAAACTTTGAATCGGTCTCGCCGACAACTACTGCCCAGAACCCAAGGACAAACACAGCCGATGCACCGACTACCTCGCCGCTATATTGGAACTCCCCACTCTCTTCGAACCAGACAACTCTACATGCAAGTGTGGCACCATCGACCACTGCGTCGGCAGCAATAAATGCGTTCTCTGGAAAAACAAAGCGATAGACTACACACCCCAGGAGCCACTCCCACTCGAAGTTCCGGGAGAAATCGCGATCCCCTACTGTCTCTCGAACATAGAAAACCTGTACGACAACAACTGCCTCTTCTGGTGCCTGTGATACCAACGCCTCCTCGACAAATTGGCGGACAATTGTCCATGCGAGAATGATTCTTGTATCTTCCTGCAGCTATTTGGAAAAGCAGAGCCACTACGGAGACGGAACAATATTTGGCATACCCCCTTGCCCAAATACGGAGGGTTTAATGTCGTACGACTGTTTCAACGTTCCTGACAACAAAACATGGTTAAAACGTCAATCATATTTATCGATTTTGGCGATTATGTATTAAAAGCCTATTATTATTAGGAAATAACTTGTTCGTGAGCAATTTTCGTCATCTCAAATGATTGAATAACCAAAATGTTTCACGTCCATTTATACAAAGCATCCATTTCAAGCACATCTGGGAGAGACTCTGTTTAACAATAGTGGGACATCATGCAACTTATAAGCTTCGTCCAAAGGTTTCAGATTGGATCACATTCTTTCGAAAGAACAGAATTGAAATCGACGTCGATGAGTGAGTTTAGTTTTACGCCGCTTTTAGCAGTATTCCAGCAATATCACGGCGGGGGAAACCAGAAATGGGCTTCACACATTGTGCCCATGTGGGGACTCGAACCCGGGTCTTCAGCGTGACGAGCGAACGCCTTACTACTAGGCTACGCCACCGCTCGTGAAGCTTGGAAGGAGACGAAATACATGTAGTTTGTAAAGGGCACTTACTTCCCTCCCGCTGCTTCGCACTCTCCGGTCTGGTGCAGCAGCAGCAAGTACTCAACAAACAGAAAAACAGCAGTCTACTCTTATGATCTGTTGTCACCCTTTAAATGTGCCGTATAATAATATTGCTTGACAGAATGATCTAGCTTAGCACAGGAGCGCACATGTATTATAGAACAATACATGAAACATGTACTCCAAATATTCACCAACCGTCTGTATATTAACATTCACTCAAAATAATGGAAAAGTGTGATATATAAATTCATAATACAATTTGGGTTCGAAGTTAAACGAACCGGGTACCGAACTGCTTGTGTAAACTCATCCCGTACAACAAACTGACATTAGACCCGTGCAGATCCAGGTACGACTTGGCCTTAGGCAACCTGTGCTGAAGGGATGGTGTGATCAGGCTCGCTGACATGGTCTACACATATCATGGTATTCCAATTGATAATCATGATGTCACATTCTACCTCCATGTGACAGGAATACTGCAGTGTGTGCTGCGTTAAACAGCAAACCAACATGGATGTAAGTCCGCCGTGAAGGTGAAGTCCGGGTAAAGCACCCTTAAAATACCACCTCAACATTTGATAGCGCAGTGTGTATGTATTACCTCCCTTTGAATGTAAGGCTTTGTTTTGTCGCAAGCGGGAAGAGTAATACAGCTCCTTCTGGCCAGTTATAATAATAATAATAATGCTTATTTTTGCGCCTAGAATCCAACACGATGCTGCTCTCTGGCGTATAAGTCCGTACATTCGCTTCTCAGGTACCCATTTTGAACAGCTGGGTGGACTGAGTGCAATGTGGACGAAGTGCCTTGCCCAGGGACACAACACAGTATGAGACCCAGGTCACAAATTTTGCTGTCTCCACCGGGTTTCGAACCCGGGCCTTTGGCGTGAGAGGCCAGCACGCTAACCACTACACCACCGTGCTCTTGTTATATTAAAGAACATTAGAATGTTTTTTTTATGTTTGGAAAACCCCAAACAAACTTACGTTCAATATTTTATTTTATACAAGGAAAGCGTACTAAAATATGTTTTTCGATGACATATGTTAAACTTTTATTAATCCTAATCTGGATAGTGGATTCTAAAGACCAACTCTTCATTAGGATACTAATACCTATGCCATTGATGTGGAAATTGAGGTTTCACTTACATATCAGACGTGTAATAGTGCATTACCTAGTCATCGACTGACTGATCTCTCCATACATGGCTGGTGAAGACCCCGAAACGTTCATGCGAAAAATTAATACCAAAGTTGTACTCCATAACATGTCTCACTGCTGCCTGTTTCACGACAATGTCTATTAATCACTGACAATTATTGATTCCTTTTAATCGTTTCTCGCTAAGATTTTCACAAAGAGTGGGTTTTCTGAGCTTCTGTAACTATCTAAATATTTACAACGCCAAAAAATAACACGTGCGGAAATCTACGTGACATGGCTTGTAGTCAGTCGGATGTTTCGCATGACGTCACACTACATTACTTGAATTGTTTGAAATATTTCTGACACATAATGGCGACGGGGCCCAGGAATTCAGCAGGTATTCCTTCCCCCTACATACATACAAATGGCTATATTTGAAGCAGTTCTAGCCTTTTATGAGTGAGTGAGTAAGGTTTTTCACCGCTTTTCACAATATTCCAGGTTACTGTTGTACAAAGCGATCTTAGCGCTAAGGTGACCTAACTCGGAGTAACTCCCAGACCTTGACATAGTGTGAGTGAGTGAGTTTTAGTTTTACGCCGCTTTTAGCACTATACCAGCAATATCACGGCGGGGCCACCAGAAATGGGCTTCACACATTGTACCCATATAGGGAATCGAACCAGGGTCTTCGGTGTGACGAACGAACGCTTTAATCACTAGGCTAAAACACACACACAAACACACACACAAAAAAACAAAACAAAACCCCAAACAAACCCACCACCACCGGTCTGAACAGTCTGGCCCCTACTGTATCATACCTGTGTTAAAAACCTGTGTCAGCAGGGAGCGCTCACTCGACCGGCCTTCCTCTGGGAAAAGTCAGTCAGTTTGGTTTATCGCCGCCTATCATTTCAGTTACATCACGACTTCTCAACTTCACATGGGAGGGAACCCAGAAGTGATGACTGTCTTAAGACGTTTTCCACATAGTGTCGTCAAAAACAGAAATATTCATAAAGCGTACGGGAATTCAATACCAAGATCAGAGGCGCCTGGTGCACAAAGGGACGCAACTCCATGACGTACACGTACACCAGTGTTTGCCCTTAACCCTGAAAAGCTGCAGGCCCTAAGGGCCCAGAAACATAAAAAGTTGTGGGTCCTGATGAGAATGTGTAGGGCCTATATTTTAATATGGAAATAATACTCTTAGTTATTGGGGATGAAAAAGCTGTCCGCCATAAGGACCTGCAAAAAACAAAAGCTGAGGGTCCGAGTGGTTTTCAGTCGGTCTGGGGCCCGAGGACCGGCGTTAATTTCGAAGGCTGGTACACACTCACATAGTAATAGATTGATTGAGTTCAGTTATATTCAGTATTGCCGCACTGAGCAATACTACAGCGATATTGCGGCGGTTTGCAGATAATCGAGTCTGGACCAGACAATCCAGTGATCAACATCATCGTAAAGTTCTACAAGGCCTATTCGATGGACCATATATACTCTCGGTCGACCTTCACCTACAACGTTGACAGTATTGATTGCAGAATGCGTCCGCGAAAACATAAATAGCATCACTAACAGAATTGTGTTCCAACTGAACCACATGTGATCATTTGTAATAGTGTCACTGCATATGGGTGTTAGCTGATAACAGACGATATTGACAAAATAGTGCAGGTCGAACTAGAAATGTGCACAGTAGTATATGTTTTTTTACTCAACATATGCTCTCTCAATAACAGTGAGTGAGTTTGGTTTTGCGCCGCCTTTAATACATTATCAGCACTGCCACAGCTTGGGCCAACAGAAACGGACTTCACATACAATGTACTTTAAAAAAATGTGCCTATGTGGAAACTCAAACAAGGTCCTTCGACTCTCCGTCTAGGCTATGCCGCCGCCCCACACATACTACGCTGGTGAATATATACGTAGTATTCTCTTCACAGTAAGCTGGCATTATCGGATATACAGACCGCGCCCTTACTCTGACTACGTACTTATACACTGTACTGCTAATATGCTGCGTACACACTCTAATAATCTGGTAACTTTCAGATGTCCTAGTTATACACCACAGCTGCGTTTAAAACATTCTGGGTATCTCGTCTCACCTACTACGTCCACTATGGTCAAAACTAACAGGCCTACAACTGAACGCAAACCCACAGCACGTACAGTGTACACGAGCTCTGCACGCTGTCCCAGGATGAGACTGCATATCACATCTCGACGTGGAATCAGTAATATGAGTCATCCGTTTTGTAGAATACTTCAGGTGTCACGATGAGCACTGAAAGCACCTATGACACTGATAGTCACATGTGACGAGAAGATTTAGGCCATAACCGTTTGTGTAATTCCGGGAAATTGTAAACATTAATCTTGCCGCCAATAACGATGTTGCTGAATAGAAAATAATCTTGCTTTATAATTAAATACTACTTAATTATTCGTAATCAGTAGGCTTGTTGATAATATATATATTCAAACAATATTGTGATTAAAAATGTGAAGATCTTTACAAACATATAGCATTTCATTACTGCGTTATTGCACTAACGTATCGTACAACCCATAAAACCTAGCTTACTTTGACCCAGGTGACCTAGTCTCGCCAGCCAATCAGCATTGCGCTCTAGAGGGGGGTAGCGCAATTGATGTAATTGTACTAGACCACATTTTTGTTTGTGATGGAGCAAGCACAACTGACCGCCATGTTGGATGTGAAATCATTGCTGGCTGTGCAAAAATATTGCTCAAATTCGGACATTAGGCAAACTCGTTGGTCATTTCTGACAGTAATCATAGAATTTAGAAGATATTAACTTTCATTGGGATACGTTTCAGCACCACAAATGCGACGAATTACAGCGCAATCGACTGGTGATGAGACTAGAGGGTTCGTATAAAGCAGGACGTGGCGAAGTCACGTGATTTGTCCGGGTACATTACGCATCTTTCATATCGGAATTGCATCGGCGATTTCACTCCACCTGGTCTGTGATTGACATTTTCAACAACGTTGATTTATTTGAGAACTTCAAGTATGTGTGGTACACTATTTTGATCATGCATATCTGGTCTAGGAGGCACTAAAGTAAAGATAATGATATATGACAAAAGTCACGTGCTTCGTGATATTTCCCGTCTTGTGTCTGTGTCAGTCGACTGGTGACAATTCATCAGAGACAATAGGCATGATTGAACTCTGTCGAATCATACATAATAAGTCTACACCTTGTGCTTTTTGAGAATAATTGTCAAATGATTTTCAGAATTGCATGTCGAGTCCACTCCCTCTGAGGATATGTTGTATGGCCGCAATGGCTCCCGCGCTTACTGAGGCGGCTAGTCAGGTCAGAATTAAAGCGACACTACCAGCTACAACGACGCCATCAGTTACTACCCCGACTACGGTTCTAAACGGCAAGGATCACAAATTGACGGTACAACACGAATTAGCGGTAGTTGATAGTCGCCTGTCCCTGGACAAGGTGCAGAGGTCTACCAAACAAGTGACCAATTTAGCAGGTCACCTGCTAAACGGAGGTCACAGTGTAAAATTGAACACCTGCAATCTTGCAACTAATCTCCAAAATTTAGGGGTTACCGCAGCCATCTCGAATCTCCACAAGAAAGAAGTGTCGGCATTCCAGAGTGAATTTATCAAGTCTTTTGTAAAGCTTGAGAAAGGAGGTATGAATCAACCTGCATCTAAAAATGAAAACACAAAGCCTGAAACGTTATCACCGAAAGAACCATCTGAGAGTACATCATTCGTTAATGGAAAGTCATCAGTGCCCGATGTTGTGAAGGATGAACAGAAAAGTTGTGAAAGAGACATATCTTCAGATCCGAACACTTCTTCCAATGTGGATAGCAAACTGAGTGGAAATGATGCCATAATTAAAGGTCAGGAAGAAGATACAAGTTCATGTCCTTCAAACTCCAAACTTGACTTGGAAAATAATGAAAGTGTTAAGACGACTGAAGATCTGAAAGAATGTGTTTCAACATCACAACATCAACTTCATCGAAGGGCAGAGTTTCTTTTGCGTCGTCTACGCCGAATTCAGGGACGTCAAATAGAAAATCATACTAGACAGCAACTTCACCATTTTGTAGAATATCAACATAAGAATTTAGAAACTGTTGTGAAGTCTATTAATGCACCAGTAACTGGCACTGAACTAAAAACAGAATTATTACAAAGTGAAGATGTGAAAAATCTCTCTACAGCTGCCCTTGTAAATTTAGTTAGAAAGCTTCAGGCACCTAAGAACTTATCACTGAATCAACGCCTTGTCCATCCGCCGAAAACAGAGGCAGTGATTCAAACGACGACAAATATTTTGAAAATGGACAAGTCTGTGCGGAATGAATCTGAAACAGCAGCTGATCACATGTGTTCAACGATCAAGAGCCTTGAATCAGTGGTCGACTCAGATGCAACAGAGAGCAGCTCTGGTGGAGAAAGTTGTGATGAGTTTGATGGAGATCTTGTAAAGGAAAAGAAAGGTCCTTCTCCGCCACTGTAAGTGTTTGGGTATTATTTTTATAACTGATTGTACATATGACATTTATGCCTTCCACTCTGCTTCCTGATATGAATTTATCATGTTTTGATATTGCATAAGCTAGGGGAAAACTAAGGCCTTGAAAGAAGGCCTTCCTTACCCATAATGGTTAAAAATTGAAAGTCACGTATATTTGTTTCAGGAATAAGTCACCTTGTGTCTTAAGAACCTAATCCGGTAAGAGTTCCGCCCGTAACCCCCACTTGAAATGTATTGTATTTATTAGGATTATTTCGAGGGTTTAGGGTGAGGGTTTAGGTTTAGGGTTAGGGTTAGGTACAGGTATAGGCTGTTTATAAAATAAACATAGGCATATATTCTTAGGCATATAATGATTTATTAAAAACCCGGGGGTTACGGGAGGAAATCTTTCCCCGAATCCAGCTGACAATATAAAACACACTTTAGTTGGGGGTCTGAAAAGTGCTGAAACATGCTTTTTGCTTTGGTCAGTATGATGCATGTTATTCTGATCATGTGATGGCAAACATGTTGGGTTACTGACAGAAAACAAGGAACTAGACTACTTCATCACACTGGGATGGTTAGAAGAATGAAAGATGTGTCTTCGTCTTGTCTTTGAGGGTGAATGTTGAACTGTTTGGATGAAGATGGATGTTGTGTTTTTAAAACGTTTGCCATGAGGATGTGCCTGTTAAAGCCCTACTGTTTTATGAAATGCTATTGCTGTAATTTCACACCCAAACCTTAGTATGAGGCTGGTTATATATTATGTATTGTACAGGTATGAGCGAATGGAACTTAGTCATGTTAGCATGTACATGATCATTATATGTAGGACTGAAACTGTTATCCAGAATGATCCTATTTAAGAGATGCATGAGTTGTCCTTTCTCCCTGAATGTTATACTTCACATGGTGAAAAATGCTATTTGCTTGAAATAGAAAATTGCAACAGGATATGTGTATTGTGTCAACATTAACAAAACCTAAGCAATTCAGAAAGTTCTAGAGTTTAGTCAATTGGGGAAGACCACTAACAGGGTAAAGTGGTCTTCAAGTTTACGTTGACATTCTTATGGTGGTCATGCATGATTGCTCTCAGCAGTCTGGCTAGCTGTTATCGGCCACCAATCAGTAGCTGGTGACTGGGGGATAATAATAGAACATCTCTCAAAGATCGTAATGCAGCTGTGGGTCATGACCCAGAAGGGGAATCCCCTTTCTTATTGAGAACATTTCCTTGAAATATCATTACAAATGTCTTTAGTGCCAGTGTTTCCTGTTTTGTTCCCCATGTTTACAGTGAATGAGGAATATGAAGTATGTATGGTAGATCATTTTTGTAGATCCAATATTTGCGTATAGACATACTGTGTTTAAGATTGGGTTAGTAAAATCATGAAATTGAACTGAAATGTCAACAAGGCTGAATTTTAATCCTTTATGGAAATAACAATAAGCAATTTTTGTTCATGAGATAGTATGTGCTGATGATGATATGTACAATGCATTCAGCTTTCTTTCACTTAGGTTGATCTGACCTAAAAAAATCTTACAGCTGGTCCAGTCTGTTTTCTATCTGTGTGTTGAAGTGAGTACCTTCCATGTGTTTTGTTTGGTTCCAGAGAAGTTATGGCCTTAATTGTAAGAATCTCAAGTCAGAGAGAAAAGTAATTTCAAATCATTAAGATGCATGCTGCTCAGAGGCTTTTAGTTACAAATAGATGTGGAGATTCCCAAGTGTTAGCGCAAGAAAATAGTCTCTCTTAAATGGTTACGTATGGAAATTAATTTCAATTATTCATGTGTCCTGTTGTCAAAAGTATTTTCCAGACCTACTTTTAGAATGTGTGATGCTAACATAGTGTACATTTTGTATTTTGTTAATTTACCCACTAGAAATATTAACAATTCAGCTATCTTGTTATGTGTCAACTGTAAATGCAAAAATGCCTTTGTTCTGACCTGATTCCCATGTCCTGTAAATAATGAGAGTATGTCTGACTAATTGTCTTTAATCATGTTAATAGGACAGCATGCAGCAGAAGGTTTTTCTAAAGCCACACTTCAGCAAGTGATACAACTGAAAGGATACATTAGTGAGAAGTTAAATGCTGAAAACTGTTATGGCACCATTTGGAATTTCTGCCACACTTTTCTCATCCATAGATGCTTGTCATGAATAGCTTTTGTTAAAACTTACAGGTTTAGAATTTGTGAAATTGAAATGCTATTTTGACATGATATAGCAGATAACATCACTTCCACTGGGCTTTGCCCACATTTCTAACCTGTCAGGGATGTGATTGATCACATATCTAGGTAGTTTCTTCCTCTGCCTACTTTTGGTAGCCCATGAAGATCCTTGTTGAGGCGAGTAGTTTGATCCCTGCCAGCTGTCAATGTATGACCTACATCTTAACCGGTGATTGTATAACCTGGACTGTGGCTGTAACAAGGCGTACAGTCATAAGATTAAGCTAACAACTGTACCGCTACTACTGCTAACACCGTGTCTACGCAGTTTGCTTCCTATGTCTCTCAGTTGTAAATACACTGAAATATGCCTTCAGTTACTGATGTTCTGGTGATCACTAATTGATTGACTGGTTCCATATATAGATAAGATCAGTGGTTGAAATTAGGACATCTTAGGGACAGATATTTGTTTGATGTGATAGGTTGTTAACCTTGGCACCTTTTAACTCTTTTGCCTGTGAATGGTGAGGTAATTGCAAGAAACTTTCAACTTTATTCTTCATTTGAAACATTCAGATGTAAGTGTGTATCAATATTAGCTAGCTTTGTGAAATGGCAAGTATTCATGGTACAGTCATCCCTCGTAATAACGCTCTTTGTGATACCGCAGATTCGGTTAAACCGCGGGGTAATCAGGGGCTCCCATAAAAAAAAGTTGCCCAGTGATCACACATATTCACGTCATCGAAAAATAGCACATCAACAAATCCGCTCTTGAGCTCTTAACGTTGTAAACTAGTGAAATTCAGTGCCGATTGCAATTAACAGTGTTTATCGTACATATCCATGGTTTTTCAGATGCTTAAAACATGCAGGTTTTTTTTGCAATAATAGATGAACAGCGAAACATCGTTATAACTTTATCATAAAGACATGTCGATCATCAGCCGAGTACTTACAACGTTTGCTATGATGCAACACACCGCATAATTGCGCGGGTAAACACCGCCATCCGAGAATGTATGATGTCAGAAAACACATTTTATTTGATTAAATTCGCCAGGGTCGAATCCCCAGATGGGTACAATGTTTGAAACCCATTTCTGGTGTCCCCCGCCGTGATGTTGCTGGAATATTGCTAAAAACCTAAGTCAGTCAGTCAGTCAGTCAGTGATTAAATTCAATCCCATTTTCATTCATTAAACCTGTTTACAATAAGAACGGAGAAACCGTGAGTGAAGTGGCATTACCTCATTCCATACAACGCCCGCTTACCACATTCGTGAGGGTCCATTTTTTTACGTCTACCGCAATAGAACCAATTTCACATTTTTCTCAGCAATCACGAACAGATTACAGCCTTGTCATCCATTGACCCCAAGACCCGCGTTATTGACTCATTGAAGTCATATTTGACAATTAAGTGCCAACATTTTGTTTTTACAATCAAAGTGGCAGGTACCGCGGGAAGTCAGCGGTGACTTGTCAAACTGTCTCCTACGTAAAATGTATCCAACCAGGTAACCCAAAGTGCTTAGCAATGCTAATTATTATGTAAAATAAGTTCGTAGAAAACATGCATTATACTTATACGATAGCAATATATAAGATCTCTGTTAGAATAACTGCTTGACATATAAATTATTCTGATAATGGAATAGAAATTCTTTGATGTTATATTTTCGGATCGTTTTTAACTGAATCACCGGTACATTGGACCAAAACATCGATCTGTGCCCAGCTGATTGCTATTTCCGACTTAGTTGAATAACAGGTTGCATGACAGGAACAACAATTGAATTATCATGTCTTGTGATGTTTGATTGCAAGTTTCATGTACACACATCTGTTTTCATTTACAAAGTTTTTTTGGGTTTTTTCACCTCCAACGATACAATATATAGTTTTGACTGGGCACAATACACAAAATAGCAGTTTTGTTATGTCCATGGAAAATACGATTTTCCTTGGCCTTTGTTCCGCGTTATGTAATCGTTACTATAACGTGGGTGTCTAATAACGCAAGGGGTCATCCATGGACCCCAAGACCCGCGTTATGGCAAGGGATGCCTGTATGTGTGGATAGGGGTGACGTCCATGAGGTTAGATGCAGTATGTTGTATAGTGTGTGGTATAGGTGTTTGGGTTGTCATTATTATTAGGTCCAGTATTGACATTTCTTTTCAAAAGTATCATGATATTTTGATCAGTGATCAGAGGCCCAGATAAGCTGCGTATCCGGGTAAAATACGCATAGAAAATTTCCAATTACGCATTGGAAAAATAATTGTTGCGTACCAATTACGCATTTAAAATGTTAGATACGCAAAAAGTTTAAAACAAATGCGTACGGAATGTATTTATGAAAATAGCTTGCGTAATGAAAAAGACATCGATTGCTATCAAGTTGTACTGTTAGTATAGGACAAGTGTTGTACTGTCAGTATAGGATGAGTGATTTTTTAAGAAATCATTTCCATTATATTAAAGTTGGTTTTGATTAGGTATGACATAAGGCAGAACATACCTGCTTAGTAAACTTACTCAATGACATATACTTAGGTGAGTAAAATGACTGAAATAGGCACATATTTGAAAGCAGTGGGTAACGGAAAATGAAATACGCACTCAACATTCATAATACCCACTCCAAAAAAATACAGTGGGTACAGTACCCACTTGAGCTAAATCTTATCTGGAGCTCTGAGTGATAGACAAATTATTCTGTATGTATGTTGATACAAAGTACTGTTTCATTCTGAATATCAACTGGCTGTATTAAATGCTAAAAATTTAATTTTCTGTGGTTTCATTATCAATCTTAACTATATTTCAGTGTATGATTGTGGAATTGAGAAATGATGCTTTTACAGGTCCTACTTTCATTACCTCAAGGTCACCCAGGTCAGGGTAGGTCACCCTGATGCTTGTACATAGAAGCAGCTGGTTTGGATCCAGTGGTTATGTAATGTTGATAAGGCTGACTTTCTGTCACTGTTTTGGATGTAGCACATTCTTTAAGTGGTGGTTGGGTAGCATAGTGGTTAAAGCATTCGCTCGTCATGCCAAAGGTCCAGGTTCGATTCCCCACATGGATACAGTGTGTGAAGCTCATTTCTGGTGTCCTCCGCCGTGATATTGCTGGAATATTGCTAAAAGCGGTGTAAAACCCAACTCACTCACTCACATTCTTTAAGCCACATGTTTACCTTGTTGGCGCTCAGTTACAGCCAACTTTGATACAGCTTGGTTGTTGCTGACATCAGACTGATCCAAAACTAAGAATATGACGAGAGTTTGTGGTAATAGTAGTTTTAACATTGAGCAGATTTCGCCAGAATTTCTAAGCTTTCATTTGTTGATTGGCACTGATTACAACATCTTCACATGCGAGGTACTTCCCTTTTGTTTGCATAGCGTCAGTGCAGGACGGTGAGGTCAACATGGACATTGTGGTCTTATGGTTCATTCATTTCTGTTACATTGATAAACATAATGAAGTTAGATTATAATATTTTATGCCATGATAGTGCCATTGCATACTGTTGTTATACAACGGTAGTAGTGGAAATAGCCCCTATCATCACGGCCATTGGAAACATGGCCTGTCCTGAGTACGGTACAATGTTGAAGGCTTAACCATTGTGCTTGATGAACAACTACTGTATGACAGGGATCCCTCTGGGTGAAAAAAGTGGAAGAAAATTGGATTTCTTGATAGTATTATAGGTCAGGGTTTTACAGAGACATGTGGCAGTCATGGTGACTCAAAGTAAATGTTTAAATGTAAATATGCAAGTCATGAAAACATTTTATCTATCAAGAAATTTTGTTATTAAGTATACAAGCAAAGAGTGTGAAGGATAGTTTGTAATGTCCTCTTTAAGTAACCTGAAGTGCATGTTTAGTGTAATTTGGTGGAGTTACTTGGATTCAAGGTACACAGCGTGGTTAGTCTGTATCTGTGTCTGAGGTAGACACGGTCAGTCTGTATCTGTGTCTGAGGTAGACACGGTCGGTCTGTATCTGTGTCTGAGGTAGACACGATCAGTCTGTATCTGTGACTGAGGTAGACACGGTCAGTCTGTATCTGTGTGTGAGGTAGAAATGATCTGTCTGAGGTAGACACAGTCAGTCTGTATCTGTGTGTGAGGTAGAGATAATCAGTGTCTGAGGTAGACATGGTCAGTCTGTATCTGTGTGTGAGGTAGAAATAATCTGTGTCTGAGGTAGACACTGTCAGTCTGTATCTGTGTCTGAGGTAGACATGGTCAGTCTGTATCTGTGTCTGAGGTAGACACGGTCAGTCTGTATCTGTGTGTGAGGTAGAAATAATCTGTCTGAGGTAGACACGATCAGTCTGTATCTGTGTGTGAGGTAGAAATAATCTGTCTGAGGTAGACACGGTCAGTCTGTATCTGTGTGTGAGGTAGAAATGATCTGTCTGAGGTAGACACTGTCAGTCTATCTGTGTGTGAGGTAGAAATAATCTGTGTCTGAGGTAGACACTGTCAGTCTGTATCTGCTGAGGTAGACACTGTCAGTCTGTATCTGTGTGTGAGGTAGAAATAATCTGTGTGTGAGGTAGAAATAATCTGTGTGTGAGGTAGAAATAATCTGTGTCTGAGGTAGACACTGTCAGTCTGTATCTGTGTGTGAGGTAGACACAGTCAGTCTGTATCTGTGTCTGAGGTAGACACGGTCAGTCTGTATCTGTGCATTTCTGGTGTCCTCGTCGTGATATTGCTGGAATATTGCTAAAAGCAGCATAAAACCATACTCACTCACTCACTGTGTGTGAGGTAGACACGGTCAGTCTGTATATGTGTGTGAGGTAATTAGTAGACTATGATTAGATTTATGGGTTGGACATAACATGTCAAAAGCATGATGGTTTCATTGGGTACTAATGTCACAACTGCTAAACATGCAGGAGTGCCTTAGTAAAGTAAAATATTAAAACTCTGGTTACCAGATTGACTCCAATAGGATTCTAATACAGCAGGACTCTCATGTCATAGAGTGCTGCTCATGATATCATCCACCGGATTGTGTGGAGTCACTTGTTTCCAGGTAGCCATAACAGTTAACATTGCTGTGAGTGATTTAAGAAGAACTAACTGTTATGACAGATGACTTACCAATAATTGTCTTGTCCAGGTCTCATCTTGAAAGCTCAAACTAAGTTCCGTATTTTTTGTTTGTGCAGACATCGACGGGCAGACTGGAAGTGGGCGTTTGAGCGAGCTTCTGTAGCCGCCCGATGGACATGGCTGCAAGCACAGGTGTCAGATCTGGAATATCGAATTCGTCAACAGAGTGAGATTTATAAACAGATACGGAACAGTAAAGGCAGCATTGTTCTGGGGGGATGCTCCGTCACCTCAGAATCTATTGACTCGCTTTCACCCTGCAGCAGTTAAAACTACTGCCAGGCCTGCAGGCTCAGATAATCGTGTAACTAGTCTAGATCAGAAAAATGAGATGTCCCCGTGTAACATTTCCACTGTGTTGTCAAATGTTGACAAACAAGCCTCCCGCCTCTCTCAGTCCCTTGGAAACTGTCTTTCACCTCAACAAAACAGTATCAAATCTAGTACACCTTCTACAGGACGATCATTAAATGGATTTATTGAGTCACCAATAGGTAATTCTGATGATGCTAATTCGGATACCCCTGTTGCCGATGTTCGGTTGTTAGTGGACAAGTCTGACATATCGGTAGTTGATCCAACGACACAAGCAGCTAGGTGCCGACCATTACGTAGTTACAGAAAGCGCAAGTTGTTGAGGACGTTTGGTTTACATCAGACCAGTCGTAAGGCTGCTCGGCTCTCTACCGTCAAGTGTGAATGTTATCCGCCTGTGATGCCATGCCCCTTGTGTGGGGGGCGCTATAATAACGCACAAACTGTCCAGCCAGATGTCATGCCTGTGCAGGAACGAGTCTCACTCTTGGATGCATCGTTCCATCCTGTTCTGTCGTTCCCTCAAGGTAAGTGTTTTGTTGATGACAGTGTAACAATACAGTGTTTGTCAGGGGGCCCGTGTAACCCTAATGTTAAATCTTAAAGTTTAGAATATTGCAGTGTTTAGATTTATATAGAATGGGATAACACTTCTAGGACTCCGTGTTCCGTGTTTACTCATAATATCATACTATCATGTTATGGATCCTGTTACTAATGGTACACGTGAAGATCTGGGTTAGAATTGATCTTCAGTAATCCATGCTTGTCACAAGAGGCAACTAACAGAATTGGGTGGTCAGGCTCGCTGACCTGGTTGACACATGTCATCATATCCCAATTGTGTGGATTGATGCTCATGCTGTTGAACACTGGATTGTCTGATCCAGACTCGATTATTAACAGACTGCTGCCATATGGCTGGAATATTGCTGAGTGTGGTGTAAAACTCAACTCACTCACTCACTGTTACTAATGGGGCAGTGGGGAAGTCTAGTGGTTAAAGCGTTAGCTCTTCGCGTGTCGGAGACCCGGGTTTCATTCCCCTTATGGATCAACCTTTTCCTGATTATGTGACATGTCAAGTTTGTTGGTAACTCTGTACATGTTATGGTTGCAAGTAATTTGGCTCAGTGTCATGTATGGGTCAGTTCACTGGATTGCAGTCATGCATAGTTTCCCAAAATGTCTTCATTCAGCAGAATTGTCTTAAACATGCATTATTTGAGAAAGGGCATTATTTCATCAGCTAATGATTTGTATATTGAAGTATTTTAATGTGAAGTTTTACAGTGGGAAATCTTCAGTAATGGGTGCTTTCTAAAAAGTGAACAAGGGTTGTGTTGAGAATAGCCTATTTATGTACTGAGATACAATGTAATGTTTTGCCTCCGGCAGCCTGGCTACAGTTGAACAAAAGATTCTTTTGTCTGATCTACATTTAGAACATCATTTAAAATCATTGCCTGTGAAGTAAATGTAACTAATTTTCAGGTATTTCTTGTCTTGAAGTTTAATTGGGGAAAGTCCTCCTTTTATGCTTCAATGTCTGTGTCAAATGCAGAATTGTATGTTGTGTTGGGGGGCACGTGGGACCCAGTCGCCTAAGGTGCTGGAGTTTACTGTGCAGTGTTGTCCCATGATCGTGGGTTAAGTCACATCATGTTTCTAGTACTGTCAGCACCTTGCTAAACGTCGGAGAAATGCATCACTTCATGCTTTCCTCTTACTATTTAGCTAATGTGTGAAGCCCATTTCTGGTATCCTGTGATATTGCTGGAATATTGCTAAAAAGTGGCGTAAACTAAACTCGCTCACTCCATGTAGATACTTCATGGAACTACTTTCATGATGAATATGGACCATTGAGTAATGCATTCTGAAACATTGGGCTATGATAATACATTTAATCATTTAGTCTGAACAAATTCTGTATGAAAGTGAAAAGGTCCCTTTCATTGCTGTTAAAGATCCTTTTAGTTAATGATCCTGGTGTCTCTAGATTCAAGTTGTACAGGAAGAAACGGTGAGGGGTTCACACCCACCAGTGTTTCAAACACTGCTAGATATATCTGTTGATAACAATTATTATGAGGATTATTTGATGTATGACTGAAAAATATGGGTGTTATGACTTGTGATTTATTCTTCAGCCTGCCTGCACCTAGTATATTCTGAGCTGTCAACTTCAGTAGTGTTTAGTAATATAATGTCAATACAGTTGTGTTGGTACATGTAGGAAACTAATAGGTAGAGGTGGGTATTGCAGAGAATTTTCATTTTGTGATACATTGCGATGCGAAAGCATATATTGCAATATGTATTGCAATGTATTGCAAGAAGTTTTCCGAATGCATGTCAAAATACCGGTTTTCGGTCAGCGTATCGCAATACGTATCGGTTATATTGTGCAGCCCTACTAATAGGTAGCTATTTCAATTATCTTGTTGCTTGATAAACCCTGAAATGTTGAGGCATTGAGTTGGAGTCAAGGTCAGGCAAGGTAATAGCAAGGTCAGTATTGTGCATGTACTGAGCTGTGTTTACCTGCTGGAATAATATTTTTGCATTGAGTGATTGAAGTGGTGTTGTTCATGCATGACAAGTAACAACATCGTCTCTTCGCTAGTAGGTCACTGTGACCTTACTTTCAGTATGACATTGAATAGATCTGACTTATGGTTGATCTCTTATACCCCAAGAAATGTTTTGTACACAGCTATGACTTGAATCAAGCATACAGTACATGAGTAATTGGTTTGCCTTGATGAAAATATCCCAGTCCGTTTGAGCGGCCTATTCTGTTGATCAGAAGTAATCATAATGATGAAAGTTGTCATGCCAGTAGTAAATGACTTCCTATTTGTAAGTCATACACTTTCATTTCCAGAATTTAATCTCTTGCAAAGTCATGAGTAGTAATTTCAAACTTTCACTCAGTTTGTGACCCAGTTAGACTCTGTTTGCAAACATTTTTCACATCAAGTGACATGCAAATTCACAACATGATCAGAATTATTCATCATATGGAAATAACCAGTAAACAGTGGTTGTCAGATTGGAGGTCCAACTATGTAAGGACACTTTGTATGCTGTAAATAAGTGTAGTAAAGTTTTTCCAGAATAAGGTGAGCAGCCAGGCACTTTAACGTTCAAAACTTGGAATAATTATTCACCAAATAACAGCCAAGAAAATAAGTTATTAGTATGTATAAGGTGTTATACGTTCATATGAATCAGAGCGTTGACATCCTGTGTGAGATGTAATCTTGTAAACTTCTTGAAACTGAGAGCATGACAGAAATGTCAGTCTTGAGAGAGTATAGAGTTCTCATGATCCTTTTAGTCGAAGTAAGCAATGTCATGTATTTATTTGGCTTCACGGCGTCTACAAGGTTTTGCCCTGTAATTAATAGAAGATTATTTGACATGTTTTATCTCAGCTGAGTAGGGAATCAAGGAGGTGACTGAAAATGTTTCTGGAACTTTGTTGTCCAATGCAGGCCATTGTTTATTGGGAGCTTTGTGTGTGATGCAGGCCATTGTTTATTGGGAGCTTTGTATGTGATGCAGGACATTGTTTATTGGGAGCTTTGTATGTGATGCAGGCCATTGTTTATTGGGAGCTTTGTATGTGATGCAGGCCATTGTTTATTGGGGGCTTTGTATGTGATGCAGGCCATTGCTTTGTTTATTGGGAGCTTTGTATGTGATGCAGGCCATTGTTTATGATGCAGAGCATTGTTTATTGAGGGCTTTGTATGTGATGCAGGCCATTGCTTTGTATGTGATGCAGGCCATTGAGCTTTGTATGTGATGCAGGCCATTGTTTATTGAGGGCTTTGTATGTGATGCAGGCCATTGTTTATTGGGAGCTTTGTATGTGATGCAGGCCATTGTTTATTGGGAGCTTTGTATGTGATGCAGGCCATTGTTTATTGGGAGCTTTGTATGTGATGCAGGCCATTGTTTATTGGGAGCTTTGTATGTGATGCAGGCCATTGTTTATTGGGAGCTTTGTATGTGATGCAGGACATTGTTTATTGGGAGCTTTTATGTGATGGAGCTTTGTATGTTGCAGGCCATTGGAGCTTTGTATGTGATGCAGGCCATTGTTTATTGTTTATTGAGGGCTTTGTATGTGATGCAGGCCATTGTTTATTGGGAGCTTTGTATGTGATGCAGGCCATTGTTTATTGGGAGCTTTGGGCTTTGTATGTGATGCAGGCCATTGTTTATTGGGAGCTTTGTATGTGATGCAGGCCATTGTTTATTGGGAGCTTTGTATGTGATGCAGGCCATTGTTTATTGGGAGCTTTGTATGTGATGCAGGCCATTGTTTATTGGGAGCTTTGTATGTGATGCAGGCCATTGTTTATTGGGAGCTTTGTATGTGATGCAGGCCATTGTTTATTGGGAGCTTTGTATGTGATGCAGGCCATTGTTTATTGTATGTGGCATTGTTTATTGGGAGCTTTGTATGTGATGCAGGCCATTGTTTATTGAGGGCTTTGTTGATGCAGGCCATTGTTTATTGAGAGCTTTGTATGTGATGCAGGCCATTGTTTATTGGGAGCTTTGTATGTGATGCAGGCCATTGTTTATTTTATGATGAGAGCAGGCCATTTTTATGTGATGCAGGCCATTGTTTATTGGGAGCTTTGTATGTGATGCAGGCCATTGTTTATTGACATTGTTTAGGAGCTTTGTATGTGATGCAGGCCATTGTTTATTGGGAGCTTTGTATGTGATGCAGGACATTGTTTATTGGGAGCTTTGTATGTGATGCAGGCCATTGTTTATTGCTTTGTATGTGATGCAGGCCATTGTTTATTGGGAGCTTTGTATGTGATGCAGGCCATTGTTTATTGGGAGCTTTGTATGTGATGCAGGCCATTGTTTAGCTTTGTATGTGATGCAGGCCATTGTTTATTGGGAGCTTTGTATGTGATGCAGGCCATTGTTTATTGGGAGCTTTGTATGTGATGCAGGCCATTGTTTATTGATGCAGGCCATTGTTTATTGGGAGCTTTGTATGTGATGCAGGCCATTGTTTATTGGGAGCTTTGTATGTGATGCAGGCCATTGTTTATTGGGAGCTTTGTATGTGATGCAGGCCATTGTTTATTGAGGGCTTTGTATGTGATGCAGGCCATTGTTTATTGGGAGCTTTGTATGTGATGCAGGCCATTGTTTATTGGGAGCTTTGTATGTGATGCAGGCCATTGTTTATTGGGAGCTTTGTATGTGATGCAGGCCATTGTTTATTTGCTTTTATGTGATGGGCATTGTTTATTGGGAGCTTTGTATGTGATGCAGGCCATTGTTTATTGAGGGCTTTGTATGTGATTTGTATGTGATGCAGGCCATTGTTTATTGCTTGGACATTTTGATTGAGCCATTGTTTATTATGTGATGCAGGCCATTGTTTATTGGGAGGCTTGGGAGTATGTGATGCAGGCCATTGTTTATTGGGAGCTTTGTATGTGATGCAGGCCATTGTTTATTATTGTATGTGATGGGCTTTGTATGTGATGCAGGCCATTGGGACATTTTTATGATGCAGGGCATTGTTTATTGGGAGCTTTGTATGTGATGCAGGCCATTGTTTATTGGGAGCTTTGTATGTGATGCAGGCCATTGTTTATTGGGAGGGCTTTGTATGTGATGCAGGACATTGTTTATTGGGAGCTTTGTATGTGATGCAGGCCATTGTTTATTGGGGGCTTTGTATGTGATGCAGGCCATTGTTTATTGGGAGCTTTGTATGTGATGCAGGCCATTGTTTATTGAGGAGCTTTGTATGTGATGCCAGGCCTTTGTATGTGATGCAGGCCATTGTTTATTGGGAGCTTTGTATGTGATGCAGGCCATTGTTTATTGACATTGGAGCTTTGTATGTGATGCAGGCCATTGTTTATTATGTGATGAGGCCATTGTTTAGCTTTGTATTGTTTATTGGGAGCTTTGTATGCAGGCCATTGTTTATTGAGGGCTTTGTATGTATGTGATGCAGGCCATTGTTTATTGAGGGCTTTGTATGTGATGCAGGCCATTGTTTATTGAGGGCTTTGTATGTGATGCAGGCCATTGTTTATTGAGGGCTTTGTATGTGATGCAGGCCATTGTTTATTGGGAGCTTTGTATGTGATGCAGGCCATTGTTTATTGGGAGCTTTGTATGTGATGCAGGAGCCATTGTTTATTGGGAGCTTTGCTTTGATATGCCATTGTTTATTGCAGGCCATTGTTTATTGGGAGCTTTGTATATGTGATGGCCATTGTTTATTGGGAGCTTTGTATGTGATGCAGGATGCATTGTTTATTGGGAGCTTTTATGTGATGCAGGGGATCATTGTTTATTGAGGGCTTTGTATGTGATGCAGGCCATTGTTTATTGAGGAGCTTTGTATGTGATGCAGGCCATTGTTTATTGGGAGCTTTGTATGTGATGCAGGCCATTGTTTATTGGGAACTTTGTTATGTGATATGGATAATTGTTTATTGTGGGCTTTATGTGAGGTGGATCATTGTTTATTGGGAATTTTTTATGTGATGTGGATCGTTGTTTATTGGGAACTTTGTTATGTGATGTGGATCGTTGTTTATTGGGAACTTTGTTATGTGATGTGGATCGTTGTTTATTGGGAACTTTGTTGTGTGATACGGATCATTGTTTATTGAGCGCTTTATGTGAGGTGGATCATTGTTTATTGGGAGCTTTGTTGTGTGGTGTGGATCATTGTTTATTGGGAGCTTTGTCATGTGATTTGGATCATTGTTTGTTGGGAGCTTTGTCATGTGATGTGGATGATTGTTTATTGGGAACTTTGTTGTGTGATGTGGATTGTTTATTGAGCGCTCTTTGTGAGGTGGATCCTTGTTTATTGGGAGCTTTGTTGTGTCATGTAGGTCACAGAATAGTACTGAAAAGTAAGGACATTAAGATTATACCAAGGCAGAGTGGAGACATCACTATGAGTCAAATATGGATGTGATGCAGCACACACCTGCTTTTTGTTTCAGAAATACCCTTACCTGTCCACTTTGAAGCTCTTCTGAAGAGTGGGGAGTGGCAGCATAAACCGCCACCCAAACGGGCAAAAACAGATACTGACAGAAAGTAAGTATTCCATCTGTAACCAACAACACGTGTTTTTGTTCTGGGACAGAATAGGCCACTGACACATGCTTGTCATAACAGCTGACTGAAATTACAAACATTCAGTTTGCTGTCATTAGCGGTAAATAATTCTGGTCAGTCAGTCAGACAGTAATTTGTCTGGCTTAAACTCACAAACAGGCAGGTGATAGAGCTGCATTAGCTGACAATGGTAAAAACGTCATTCAATCATTCTATTGGCCAGCAAGTACATACATGTTGCATCTAGTTATGCGTCCGGAATGGACGATCTTTTTGTTGCGAGGGCAGATAACTCTTCTTTTGAAATAATGTAAGCGACGGTCCAACGTCTCACTTCCGGTCTGGTTCCTGACTCAATAAAGTCAATCTTTCTTCCTCTTTACATAAATAGACATCTGCATTGTACAGTGTTGTAATTCTATCTGATGTTTTTGCATAGCCCTGCTGAACCTTCATTGACAAACAGTTTTCAACAAAATGCTTTTAACTGACACATGTATTGCGGTGATTGTTAGTTTAGAACAGCATCGTTTGTGGAATCCCAAAGTGCAGTTCGAATTGACAAGATAGGAGATAACGGGAATAACACCATGAAAATTCGGTATATTGTCACAGCATTTCCTACATCAGAACATGAGGCAGTTAAGTCTCCGGTAACTTAGCATCGATGAAAAAGTGAGAAATAACTTTATATATCAGCCCTTATGTTAGTTTCAAGTATAATTCCTCAACTATTGCTGCATTCAAACCTAACAAATAGTTCTCATACTGACCTCAATGTAAGATACACCTACATCTGCAGCCAAGGCAGCCGGAAGGCCTCTATCGCCGATATATAATTATTATCCATCCCTGACTTTTTGGATAATTGAAGAAATGCCATACAGTATGGAACAGTTGGATGAAATATAAATACTAACTTTTGATGAGCAGTTCTTCACACATCTGATTTCATTTTATGTTTAAAATTCTGGCACAACTTTTAAAGTGTACTTAATGAACAGGACACTTACCATCCAAGATCCAGATTTACCCACAATATTCTATCCCCTATAAAATGTCTCCATCAGTCAGTGCTGTGATTTATTATGTCAAATTATTGATCCATTTTTTACAAAAGTTTGATACTATTTAAGGCTCTTAAATAAGTGGTAAATTACAGAGACTTGTCTCAACAAGCAGCAGATCATACTCACTGCCTCAGAGGATGTGTATGATACTTAAATAGAATTAAATGACGAATGTATTTTAGTGTTTTCGTATCATTATGTTGACAATATATTTTCCCTGACAGACCATCTACTATCTGGCTGTAGCTTTATATTCTGATTTTCTTTCAAAAGTTCTCAAGGCAACTGTAGCATCATGTCCTTTCTTTAGGAATTAACGTGCCACAGAAAATGTGTTTAAAATCAAATATTGTTATGATGACATTAATTTGAATTTAAGCTTACTCAATCCATTTAGATATGTTTATGCATTTATTTATATTTGCACATATATAACAGGTAATTCTGATGTACAATGACTGCTAAAAGGTCATGCATGTGTAATGTAATATTAAAACAGATAATACAAATGTACAATGACTGCTAAAAGGTCATGCATGTGTAATGTAATATTAAAACAGATAATACAAATGTACAATGACTGCTTAAAGTTCATGCATGTGTAATGTAATATATTTAAGTACACTTGCACCATCATGCAAAAACATCAGATAGAATTAAAACACTGTACAATGCAGATGTCTATTTTTGTAAAGAGGAAGGAAGATTGACTTTATTGAATTATTTGTGAAAAATTGAAGTTGGAAAGCACTTTTGAATACATGTATGTATTAGGGGTGACTATTGAGGGGGAAACAACTATTGAGAAAACAATAGTCTATTGCGACTAACTATTGAAATACTATTGCAATAGTTTTCTCTCTTTGAATTGTCTCACTTGAAGTCTTGTCGTAAGAGGCGACTAACGGGATTGGGTGGTCAGGCACACTGACTTGGTTGACACATGTCATCGGTTCCCAATTGCGCAGATCGATGCACATGTTGCTGATCACTGGATTGTCTGGTCCAGACTCGATTATTTACAGACCACCGCCATATAGCTGGAATATTGCTGAGTGCGGCGTAAAACTAAACTCACTCACTCACTTGAAGTCATTTCCCAAATGAATGTATAGTTTATATGAAACAAAAACAGGTTGAAGTAGTTTTAGTTCCTTTTAATAACTGACAAGAAACTTGAAACCCAGATCAAGTAAACAATTAAAACTCAATAAAGCTGCAAGTTTCAAAGTGGACGAATCTAGTACTTCCTGTATTTTGTGCTGCGCATTTGTCAATGGAAGTCAATTACTAAACTATCAATATTCACTCATACTATCAATGCATAGGTAGTTTTTCGTTTCTACCATCAATTAACTGCTATCAGAGATTCAACAATTGCAATCCATCGAGAGTTTGATACATCGTTACAACCCTAGTATGTATTAACTAGTACAGCTCCTTCTGTGTCTGAACAAATATTTTCTTCTATTCAAAATTTAAAATATGCCAGATTTCAAGATCTGCCAGATTTCAGCTATGTCAATTCTGTTTTTAAATCCTATTTGAACATTGTATTATGATTATGGAGGTGAAAATTGACATTATTTGTCCACAACTGTATATTTTACAATTACTTGAACATTGTTCTTCGCTACTCTGCTGAAATATTTGTGTTGTTGCAAAAAATCCCAATATATTCTGGCTGCCGAAATCGACACGTTGCATACAAGACCTTCACATTTCGCTCACCGGTGTATTCCCATACTGCCTACAGTTCCAAACTGCCTACAGGTTAAAACATCATGATAGGGTCCAGTGATCAGGAAGTGAATACACCGCTCTGACCTGTTCTACCCCTGCTAAAATGAAGGTCAGGCACGGCGGCCATCTTGTTTTGAAAGTGAAACTAATCAAAATTCATCACATTTCAGTTTCATAAACAGAAATAAAAATAACATATATGCTTGTGAAGAATGTCTTGATAAAACATTATGTCTATTGTTGTTTTGTTTTCCTTCTTATTTCATAATGAATTGAATATTTCTTCACATATGCAACTTGTTAGGTTTACAAGGGCATGCTCCCATTTGCCAAAATGGCACCATCTAATCGTCGTACCCTCAGGGTTCACGGTAAAAATAGGAGGTGTGCCTGGATTCACATGGCTACAATATTTACATCACATGACAGATGGAAGAGTCTATTTCATGATTTGGACTCCGTTCTGAAGCTAGAGGCGGGAAATTTGAACAACAAAATCATTCAAAGGTAAGTTTACCAAAATGTTCTGAGAAAAAATGAAAATGGCTGGAAAACGAATCGCCACCGTACATTTCCAGGCTATCTAGTTTCTAAAATCCATAACTGAAAAAACGTAAAATGCTAGGCACACATACTATTTTGCAAACGAAGTTCCATCGTTTCCCCTCTCTCACAGCAGACATGAGAGCTGACTCGCAAACAGAAGAGTTCACTATGGAAGGGGGGAGCGCAAAAAATGAAAGTGTCCCCACGGACAATGTGACAGGTTAAGCCCTACATAACTACACAAGACTTACATAAGGTATAATGTACTTTATTTCTTTGATGTGAATGAAAGGTTTTTTTAGAAAAAAGGTAAACCATTGAAGAAAATACTGATTTTATAATTACCTCTCCCCATGTATAAAAGTGTACTCTTCCAATTTTTTACCGCTGTCACTAACAGTGAATGTATCAACAACCAAAACATTCAAGACATCGTATGTTCAATCTCAATCCTGATAATTCCTTCCAAACACTATTATCACTGACATGTTGTCTCTCTGTTTACACTGGGTCGTAATTAACCCCAATTTCCATCACAGCAGTGCTGTCATGACAGTCGCTGATCGAATGGGCTTGGTCCGTAGTGGGGGTGATGAGGGAGAAAGTGGAGCACTTGCTGACACGCCCTGACCTGACAGGTAAGGGCTGTGCCTCTTGTAGACAAATATAAATGGAACAAGCATTTTATCTGTGCCACAACACCATTTAAAACTATTTTTTTATGTACACTGATGTTTTCATGACAACGAATGTCCTCGTATCATTATGGACTAATCCATGTTGTTTTTTGCTACACCTCGTCACAACTTAATTGAGGACGACATTTTTGTGTGCTTTCATTGTCTGCTCCCATTAAACACACCCACCTTGAAATGAGATTATGTCAACAAGATACAGCTAACTTCCAATAAATTGCCGACCAAATTTCTATCATACACACATGGAAACTACCGAAAACTATTTCTCAGTGTCACTTCCGGTTTGCTTCGTGAACCCTCGTACCATTATCACAATGAAATAATTATTGGTGAAATGTGTTTGCTTTGACTTGACATGAGCATGGTAACATGGTATTAAATTTCATAGTAGAAATTACGTAATTGTAACGAAATATCATAAATAACAGATTTGAACTTTCCTACTCTGTTTTTTTGCACCAATGAAAAAATGAGGGTTGGTGTATGTATTTAATTATTTGAATTTTTTTTACATGGATTGGTGTTTTTTGGCAACCAAACCTTGAGCAGTTCTTAGAACTATCTCACCGGCTTTAACCACTAAACCCTAAAAATATGTGAGATATACCATTACAAAACAACAATATTTACCAAATATTTTTTCAGATTTTAGGGGAACTTTTACCCATGTCTTTTACTATCAAGTTATTATCACATATATCTGTAGATTATGAACATTGTTGAAAATAAATATGTATTTTGTTCTGGACTTGATGTCATCTCACTAAATGGAAAATTATACTTCATGAGAGGGGGAAAATAACCACCAAAAACAAGATTCATTGTATGAAGACTATAGTAATTAATTTTTCAAATGATGTATTAATTTCTTCTTTCAGTATCCCAATCCTGACCTTATCCTGAACCATTGTCTTTTGTTGGAGCCCTCCCCGCTTTCATACCGGTAACAAGGGATGAGTCTACTGTGTTTTCAGTTTAGATATAACCTGATCTAATTATCTAAACTTGAAACATGGTATGCTCTTCTCTAACATCAAATAACTAGTTCTTACTGTCAAATTTAAATTTCTCGCATCCTATTTATGGATGAGAGTTTATCTCTGTTTGGCAACATTAATTATTTATTATGTAATGATATATATCATTTCTTTCTATTTTAAAACATAAGCATGATAAATGCACTTGTGTTATGATCTAGACTTGTATCATGAATGAAATATGAGCATGGATTGACTTTAGATTGTTTACTAAGGTAATTATTCACTATTTTCACACTATTTTACACATGAATATTTGGATTCAAATAGTGAATAAAAACTAGGTGTTGGTGATGACTGTATGGTCCTTGTACTTTGTTTAGAGCATTAACAATGAACATTGTCATCTTCAGTGAATCATTATTGGAACACTAGTCTTCAGATGGTGATGTGTGCCGATGAAACTGAATAAAATATATCAAAACCACATTTCTGGTTTGTTGTTTCTTATTATGAGAGATAAAGCCTTATTACTTGCAGGAAATATTGTGTTGCAGTAGCTACAAATGTAGCAAATGGAAAGATCTACCTGCCTTCCAAATTTCATCAGGATATCTTCTTTATTAGAAATTTTATGTTAATTTTTTGTGCGTGTCATTGGACCATAACATGGTGCCACATCTATTATGAGATGAAACATGACAAAATATCAAAATTTGGAAGATCATTTTAGATAGATAATGAAGGATTAATTGTTTTTAACTTCATTTATTGGGACAAAATAGTTGTTTTTAATCACATTAGCAATCTTGAACTGATTGTCAGTTATTTGCACACGTATAAGACCATTCAAAGTTGGGCAATTTTGTCTATTCTTGGCCATACAAATTCCTGTTTTTCCATGTTTTGACAGTATAAAGTTAAAGAGTTTTAATACAAACAAGGAGTTGATTATGAATGGTTTGTTTGAACACATTTTTTTCAGATGAATAATACATATTAAATAGAAAAACACCTATTCAATTTTTTTCCCTGGCCCTTTTTAATCCCTTCATTGTGGCCAAACTGAATGGCGGCCATCTTGGTAAACAAAATGGCGGCTATATACACTAATAAAACATTCATATCTCAAAAAGTTTTTGACATAAATTAAAAAGGAAAAGTGCTTTTTACTCACTTATGCATGAACTAAAAGTGTGTATACACTTCTGAGTAATAAAATGCATGTACAAAATAAGCCTGACCTCGGTGAGGGCAGTATGGGACCTAACCATATTTGTGCAATTTAGTATGGTGGGGAGCTGATGATGGGGAGCGGGTTAGGTCCCATACCATACTAAATTGCATCAATATAGCCTAATTGGCCATAATACGGCCTAGTTGGCCATGTACAATGTAAATACACTCCAGTTATAAAAGTATGAAATTCAGACATACAGTCCCAAACTTAAATTACCAATTGCAAAATGTTCATAAAACGACGAAACTTGACTGAAATGAATAATCTGCTGGTTCCACCACCTCGCTTCAGACGATCATATGGCAATTCATTAGTACGTACAGCTCACACCGACATGCACTGTCAGTTTAGGTGGACCGACCAGACCAGCGGATTAGCGAAGTGAACATAAATTGAAAAAGATCATCCATTGATCAAATGGTGTGGAATGTTATATTTCATTCTTGGAGTCAATCGCCTAAGCTCTTGCCTAAACACAGGATTCAAGACCATCAGTGTAGTAAGACCCATGTCTTGTGATGTAGAAAATGCTATTTTCTTGTGACCCATTGTTACCACTTTTTCAGTAATTTGAGTGCTTCTCTCTTTCTTTATAGAAGACACAAAGGAAAAGGATCTGACAACTCTAGAAAAGCCAACCGTCAGATCCGGAAAAATGCTGCAGCAGTATTGTTGTCATCAAGTAAGTGTCATGAGAGCTGGGCCAGTATTACTATTACAGCAACTGTCAGTGTAGTGTGGTCTGTGCCAGTGTAGTTTGGTCTATGTCAGGCCAAAAAAAAAATATATGTCTGTTTCCTATTACATGCTTTGTAAAAATAGGGTAGGTGGGTCGGTTTTTATCTTCTTCTTTTTTAACATTTTTATTTTTTTAGTAGCACCAGGTGGGCACCTGAGAATGTCTTCAAGGATACCATATCATGTTGTGACAATCAGTGTTCCCGGTGGTTTTGAAAATTACCGGCGGCTTATGCCGACGGGGTCTGAAAATTCCGGCTGAACTAGTTTTTATCCGGAGAGACAAAGTAATCAGTAATCGCAACGATATACTGTAAATAAATGTGTTGAAAAGTCTGCCGTACGAGTTGCTTGTTTTTTCGAGAATGCTCATTAGACCTATAGCCGCCCTGACAAAAGTATTCGCGATTTGGCATATATAGCCGCTCGCCTCGTGATTTTGTCACAATCAGAAAATGAAAGCGTCCAACTAAATTCGATAAATGTGTTCAGAATGTCATTCGCTATCTAAATGACTGTGAAATGTGCAAATAATTAGTGTTTATATACCTGTGGTGAATTTCAACCCTCGATTTCATGAAGTTGAAAACAACGATTCTCGGACACATGCTTCGCAGCGGTCCACAATAACATTGTCAAAGAGCAAAGTAACGATGTTTCGAGGAATTCATTAAATAAATTGAATAAACTAATGAATAAAATCAACAACATTCATAAAAGTTGTACATATAAATTATTACTATCTTCCATGTTTTTGTGCGATCATGTAATGTAAGTCAAGTCACTGACAACTGACATCTCGCTCTCACACCAATCTTCACGCCGGACACCATGTTTAATGCTAAAATATATACATGAAGCATTTTTGTCACAGGTCATAACCTAGCACGACACGCCCAAAAGTTCCATAATTTACGATAGGTAGCTTTTTTTGCTTAATATGTTCAGAATAGCATTATTTTACCCAAAACTTCTGTCTAAATCTAACAGTTTTCGCTTTATTTAGGACGGAATCCATTGCAGTAATATGATTGGCTGCTTTAGGTCACGGTCAGATTTTGACCAATTACTTACCCTTATACCAGACTGAGGCGAAAAGCCGCCATTAGAAACCAATCTTTATCCAATAAAATCGCTTCTACAACTGTGAAAACTATAGAGTCTATATTTAGATGTGGGATTGCCACCCTAGTTTTCAATATACGTTTGCATAATGATCTGAAGAGAACAAAGAATAAACAAAGATGTTATCTGCAAGTTTATTAAATCTGCCGATAAACGGCAACTTTAAGCAATACAAAATTTACCGGCGGCAGCTACCGACGGCAGTTGAAAATACCGGATCTTCACAATTTCTATCGGTAAAAATCCGGTAATTACCGGAGAACGGGAACACTGACAATGTCTTGTGATTTCTATATCAAATCATTATTTATGTTATTTATTTGCAGGTTTTGTCAGTGCCAATTCAATGCAATCCATTTTAGCACTGAAAAACATGAAAATATCATACTCGATTTGGATGAAAATGATGAGTTGAATGCACTCCAGTCATGATTTTGACTTTTTAAAAAAAGATTTAGGGTCGGGTGGGTTAGGATAGGGTCGGTCGGGTTACCAGAAACGGACATTTTTGTTTTTTGGGCCTCAGTGTTTTTAGGGTTCCTGAGCAGAAACTGTTCCCATTCATTCTGTATATGCTGATTAATCAGGATGGTTACAGTTTGAGACTGGTCTGATTGCTGCACATACTGTTTGACAAGGCATCGTGTAGTACTGTTTGCATCTTAAAGCAACATTTCATCATGGACAGTCTGCGACTATAGCCCCTAGTTCCAAGTCTTACGTCTGGTATTATTCTGTTACATCCTGTAAGCTCAGGTTGTAAGAGTTGAATGATAACATTAAAGTCTGCAAAATAATGCTGATGGCCAAGTATGGGCTGAGTTATCGGAACTATGTGTGTGAAGATTGTTGTAGGCATGGAATAAACACTATTCACTCCCGTGTCAATATGTTCTAAGCTCATTCAAATGTATATATGTTTGTGTTAACGCTTTGAGGATGCTTTGGAGATTAGCGCATTATAAGACTTCTCATTATTTATTATTATTATATATAAATATGTCTTTACTTCAGAAATCCGCAGCAAATATGAAAACAAGACTGTTCGAAAGGGACATAACACATCTAGGAAAAAAGCTGTATCCACTCGGAGGTTGAACAAGGATACCACAATTCGGCGGCGGGCACAGCAGATTGCAATTGGTAAGTCCACAGCAGATTGCAATTGGTAAGTCCACAGGGAATAATCTGTTTCTAGAATAAGTGCAGGAACATTTTGGACAATATGTGAATTTTTGTTCTTTTCTTGAGCATAGGTAACACAGATAGATTTACATGTATTGGAAATTATTACTCCATTTTGGGAATTCTTTTGACATTTACTGCAGACATAGGACCTTGAAACAGGTCCAGAGTTCTAGTTGGTCCATCATCGTGTGCAGTGATTGGTTCTACTACTGACTCGCTGGTTTGTGTCAGTGAGGGATAGAAGTAATGACAGCACTTCCCTGGGTTGTGTGTGTGTGTGTAGGGGATGTGTAATGTGTGTGATAGGGATGTATCGTCGATGTGTTTATGCCTCAGAACATGTTTCTTTTTACATTTTTTTATATATATATATGTGGAAGATATTTTTATACACTTGTTTGAATCAGCTCTTCTGTGTTGATGGGAGATTATCTTTACACCTTTCTTTCCTTCCAGCCATGAAACGGCGATCTGGTCGTTCAATGTCCGCACTGCAGATGTCTGTGATGGAAGCCAGCCAGGGCTCACTTGCCTCTCCACAGACGAAGGACGGCCTTTCCCTCAGCTGTCCATCCTCAGCCTTCAAGGATCTGAAAAATAGGAGAAGTCGAGGGCGAAGCCTATGACATCAACAATATAGTCATTCCTTATAGCATAGCAGCAGCGACACGGGTAGAGAAACTACAGTACAAGGAAATTGTCACACCCAAGTGAGTGGATCAATAACAGCTGTTAGCCACAGCGTTGGTATTTATCTCAGTGTACAAAGGGGCTATAGATGGTCTGACTCAGCAGTGTTTGCATATTTGTAGCTTCAAGATGGTAAAGGACTCATCCTCCTTGAAAGAGGATGATGTTACAAGGTGATTCAAAATTTAAACTCAGGGGTTGATCCAGAAATAGGTCTGTACAGAAATACATAGTGAAAATCAGTAAAAGATCACAGCTTAATGAATAGCAACAAATTATTAGGAAATAGTTTAAGTCTGACAGTGACAACATGATGATACCTCAGTGTCACAGATTATTACCAACATAAACAGTGGTGAACACAGAAATATGTGTGTACCTTAGTAGTTAAGACAATATGCAGAACTCAAAAATGCTCATGTCTTCTGGAAACTGTCCCATTCCCAACCTTCTCAATCAAACTTTTCATGTTCATGTTTACAGAATTTCTTAACTAATTCTTGATCACTTGTTGACTTTACTAATCTAGGTGGCCAGCACTTCATATTTGACATGACCAACAATCAGTCATCCTCTGCCTCTAACATGTACAAGTAAATCTACCAATGTCTCTCCTGCCACTGATATATTTGTCAGTCACTGCATGTCAGGGGATACTTGCCACAGTGGTTATCATCTACATCCTGCAGTGCTTAGTCTTACCTTCGGGGACCCGTAATTAGCCGGGTTACAATTGGTCTTCAGTAACCCATGCTTGTCGTAAGAGGCTACTAAATTGATTGGATGTTCCGGTTCACTGACTTGGTTGTCGCACATCATCATATCCCAATTGCGTAGATTGATGCTCATGCTGTTGATCACTGGCTTGTCTGTTCCAGACTCGATTATTTACAGACCGCCTCCTTATAGCTGGAATATTGCTGAGTGCGGCGTATAACTCAACTCAACTCACTCACTCACTCACTCATTCCTTCAGGTAGATGAAGCTGACATGCCTAGGTAAAACTAATGCACCTGAACACCTGTTCATGGCAGTGTTGATGAAAAAAGTGAAGGATTAATTGGCATTTTCTTCATTGTCAGATGGAGAGACATTACCTTGGACAAGGAGAACACAACTGAGACTGTGATAGGCATGAAGGAGGACTTCCAGGAACCCATGGAGGTTGATGGGGCTTTGGAGAAGACCAATGGCTTGATTGGAATAAAACCGGTAGAAATCGATGAGGAGAATGAAGAGGTAACTGAAATTCATTTTTTATTTTTGACTTTTTATGAGTTGAGCAATATGTTTTAACATGATTATACTATGAATTGATGAAACACTGTTCTGCGTGATGTTTATACCTTTGGGGACCCCAGGTAAGGATAGATCCCCCAACAATTCGTTGTTGATCAACTTCATTGACTTGATTGCGTGTCCTTGTACCCCTATTGTGTTTCACTTGGACTTCAGATTGAGGGGGACCCGTGAAGGTCCGGGTCTATTAGAATAGCCCTTCAGCAACCCATGCTTGCTATAAAAGGCGACTATGCTTGTCGTAAAAGGCGACTAACGGGATCGGGTGGTCAGGCTCGCTGACTTGGTTGACACATGTCATCGGTTCCCCAATGCGCAGATCGATGCTCATGCTGTTGATCACTGGATTGTCTGGTCCAGACTCGATTATTTACAGACCGCCGCCATATAGCTGGAATACTGCTGAGTGCGGCGTAAAACTCAACTCACTCACTCACTCACTCAGATTGAGGGGCATTAGGGTAGCCGTATGGTTAACTGTTTCCTGCTCTTGCTTGAAACACAACAGTGTGAAAACATACTCGCTCTTGTGATACTGAACTGTATTTTTGTCTCTTTCCAGATTGAAGATCTGTGTGATGATATATATGTTGAGCGCCACCTGAAGTGTGAGGTAGAAGAGAAGAAGAGGTTCACATCCTTTATCCAATATCCATCACGGAGGAATCGCACGCGGACAGAGACCAGCACCCCATTAACTGAGCCATCTTCGCCAGATCCAAACTCCACACCAACTGACACCCTCATCCCGATAGAACTGCCACTGACAGAGTCCATGATTCAGCCAATACAGCCCCCTCCACAAGGGACTCCCAGCACGCCCACTTTCCCTGCTACTTCCTATCTCCTGGCATCGGCCGCAGGTTTCGATGAAGGGAGCAGACGTCGCAGTGGGTCTGTGTCGAGGAGAGAAAGACTGAGCTTCAGTTCTGTCATTGATGATTCCAGTCAGGATGGATTTATGGAATTGGGTGAAATTGTAGACCCATGGCCATTACGAACATTCCCTTTGTCGGAAGAAGAATTTGAAAGTGTGAAGAAGGTACAACTGACTAGTGAGAAGGTTCGACCTCGGGTGACCTTGGAGCCCCCAAGCACCCCTTGTCGAAGTGATAGCACTCCATCTAGCAGCCATCCTTGTTCTCCACTGCCAAGCTCAGCATCCAATTCAGTAGCAGGTGACGACCCTAATGACCCGGAATGGACAGTCATCAACAATGATAGAACACCCAGGAAGATGTCCGTTGTGCTCAAGTTGTCAACAGGCAAGAGGTGAGGACTGAACCCTGGAGAACATGGACGTGTCTATATACAGTGCAAGCCCCGACCAATAAGGGAGTCTTGCCATCTGCCTACAGAGGGTGCTGGTACTGACCACAGGGATGTGACGACGACGTGAGACATGCGTAATGTGTCATCCGCCATGAGAGCATCCATAAGATCAAGCCATCGTTTGTAGCATATTCTTAATGCTAGAATGCATTGAGGGCTACTAATGAGATGTGTACAGAATTCATAAGAGTCCATCCATATGTTGATGAAGGTTCTATTGGACGAGAGATGGAGAGAACTCAGAGTTATCTTCGGAGAGACAGATTACCCACTTTAGGTTCATTTTTGCCCAAACAATTTTCAGTGCATCATCACAGTTATGCTCATCAGAAATATTTTGGAGTGAAAAAAGGAGAACGTTCTTAAATGAGCTTGTTTAGGCATTTGCTGGGCTTGTGTTATAGTATGCCTGCATTGCTGTAAGGAAGAACTCTGTGGATAATGTGTCTGTTCTTGTGGATAATGTGTCTGTTCTTTCAACTACATCAGTGGTTTCCCCCAACAAGTGACAACCCCATTTCATGTCATTTGGATGGTATACATTCACAGCCGTTACATTTAGGACACCTTAAAGTATAGGGCAACCTGAAAGAGTTCTCAGTGGGAATAGCGTAAGGATTAATGGTACATATACCAGATAAGAGCGTGAATACAGCTAGGTGAAAGGAGTATTCCCTCCTAATATCATGACAAGTAGTTTCTATTGAAAAGGATGGTGTGTTGGCAGTTTGATGTGTTTCCCATATTTAGTAAATGCCAGTGCTTCACTTGGAGTGCATGGGAAACATACATGTTTTGAATGTTATCTTCTTTTCTCCAGGAAATACTGACTGTATTTGTCAGAGTGAAGTTAGTCCAGTGAGAGCTCCTTCAAGGTTGTTCACTTTGTTTAGTTTGTCCAAGTACATCGTTGATAAATGATCTCAAACATTTGACTGTTTAACAAACAACCCATTGCCTTGATTCATGTTGACAGATGCTATAATGATTTTTTTTCATTTACCTTTTTTTTAAATCCTTTATATACGATTGGAACAGCTGATCCATAGCTTTTGATTTCCAAGTGTTTGGTGTCACACATGTGGTGGCCATAGTCCTCAAAAACTTCTAAAGATGTTCCCTACACTACGTTGAGATAAGTCAGCTAGCTGTGTGTTTCTGATGTACATAATGTACATATTGGTTGCAAAAGTGCTGTATTTGAGAAATTCATTGTACGAGTGGGAGGTAAAATCCATATGTCAGTGCCCACATTGAAGTGGACAAGATTTCTAGGTTGCTTTGTGTTCATTGGACAAAAGATGTTCTCATTCAACAAAATAATTTGTGTATGTTTTGGTAAATATTGTTGCCTTTAAAACATTTTACATGTTACACACTGTACACGATAATAAGCACAAAATGTTTCTCGCATTAGAAAGACGATCACTTGCCAGATATGTTTTGTACATTCTACCCTGTATTTCATTTGGACAAGAATGAACATGCCTTTTCCTTTTGTGTTGCCATAGAAATATTACAGAACTTTAACTTGGATTATAAATTTCCAGAATCTGCATTGCAGCAGTGTACAGTTCTCTCATCATTTTAGCAGTCTCCCCTTAATGCCAGGCCATATACAAGGTAGTTTGAACATTCTCAGCCATAGCAGATCACCATCACTTCCTGGACACTGTTACCTTGGTTACCTGTGAGAAAGTGTGTGCTGGATATAGTTGTTGCAAGTTTGTGTTAATTTTCTTTTTTAAGACAAAAACTTGTTAAAGATGTTTTTCGTACATTTGTGTTGCTGCTACTCGAGTTGGCAAGTTTTCTTCACCTAGTGTTCGTACATACATCACAGTTCAGTTCGCTCATGCATTTACATTTGGAGGAAAATGCACTTGTGTATGTGTGTACTTGCATTTATAATAACTGAGAGCTGCTGCAACAGCATGTACAGCTTAGTGAATGACAACCCCAGCAGCCACAACTGCGTGGACATGTTGATGTATGTATTCTAGATACTTGCTATCTGTCTTTGTCAGGATCAAAAAGTGCTTTTGAGCACTCCTATGTGAGAGCTCTTATATGTAGATCAACCATAGTGCAATTGTGGATGAAAAAGAAAGATTAAATTAACTTTTTTTTATAACAAGTAATTTGTTGTGATTTCTTCAAGTCAGAAGACAGTATGTGTGTGCAGTCAGGACTATGATGTTTCTATGTCTGTCCATAGAGAAACACTGTGAGCCTTATTGTCCCCGGCACGCGTTTAGCGTGAAGCGGGGAATATAGTATCTGGCTCCGGACGGACGGATTGGAATATCTTAAGAACTGTTGACTGGATTCTTTTCATATTTGGTACCTAGGTTCATCACAGTGAAAGAAAGGTCCCAGTCAGGTTTGGTGACCTTGACCTTCATTTCAAGGTCACAAGGGGACTTTAACGTTTTACCCTTGTCAGCGAGATATCTCAAGAACCGTTCACTGGACTTTCTTCATATTTGACACCAAGCTTTATCTAGGGAAGGCGCATGGCCCAGTCGATTTTGGTGACCTTCACTTAATTTTCAAGGTCATGGCGACACTGAAGACTTCATCATGTTAACCTGCATGTAAAGATTGTCAGCGAGATATCTCAAGAACCATTCACTGGACTTTCTTCATATTTGACGCCAAGCTTCATCTAGGGAAGGTGCAAGTTCCAGTCGATTTTGGTGACCTTCACATAATTTTCAAGGTCACTGCGACACTGAAGACATCATGTTAACCTGCATGTAAAGATTGTCAGCAAGATATCTCAAGAACGGTTCACTGGATTTTCTTCATAGACTTTGAAGACTTCTCTTGAATGTTTTTCAATAAGCAATTTCTTTATTACTGTTTTTGCATATTTCATACACTAAGACATTCATGTCAAGGTCAAAGTGAGTCTTGAAAATATTTGTGCATTTGAACAACTACAGAGCAAGATATCAAGAGGTTGACTGGTAATGTTTTTGTTGACATTTAACATCATCTTAAATTACGACCTTCACTTTCATTACTTTTTAAGTTTGATTTGATAATTTGCGGCGGGGGATTATGTCATCTAGGTGACAATGCTTGTTTGATCTAAGGGTTGAATTCCCACTCTAGTTGGAGGTAGATGATTTTAAACTGTGAGTCTATGTTGTCAGTATATAGTATTTTCTGACTGAAGGTCTACGTCAGTGCAGGACGACACTATCAGGAGGTTGCTTTTTTGCATACAATCCGAGCTGAATGACCAGTAGCAAGTGCACCATGAGGACAAAATGACACTAATAGGCTGTGTAGGGACACACCGAGGACAGAATGACACTATTAGGCTGTGTAGGCACACACTGAGGACAGAATGACACTAATAGGCTATGTAGGCACACGAAGACAGAATGACACTAATAGGCTATGTAGGCACACTATGAAGACCGAATAACTATTAGGCTGTGTAGGCACACACTGAAGACAGAATGACACTATTAGGCTATGTAGGCACATGATGAGGACAGAATGACACTATTAGGCTGTGTAGGCACACCATGAGGACAGGATGATACTGTTAGGCTGTGTAGGCACACCATGAGGACAGAATGACACTATTAGGCTGTGTAGGCACACTGAGGACAGAATGACACTATTAGGCTGTGTAGACACACACTGAGGACAGAATGACACTATTAGGCTGTGTAGGCACACACTGAGGACATAATGGCACTATTAGGCTGTGTAGGCACACACTGAGGACAGAATGACACTATTAGGCTGTGTAGGCACACACTGAAGACAGAATGACACTAATAGCAGGCTGTGTAGGCACATCAGGAGAGTAAAATGACTCAGGAAATCCTCAAGCTGCTCTTTCAAGCAGCGTTAGCGGGGAAACTATGCCGACACCACATAACCCTGTAAACAATCTATAGAACACGGTTAGGTGAAGTTCCAACACCAGCTTTCAGGGTTGGGTGACGCTCTAAGTACACTGCTTTTAGGATACGTTGTATGTAGCAATGGTCAGGATGGTGACTAAACCACAGGACCTTGTAACGCTAACAACTGCCATCAAGGTATGCACTGTCACTAACGGGGTCTTAGCACTAAAAACGCGTTACAAGCCAAAAAGTGCTAAGACCCCGTTAGTGACAGTACGTACCTTGATGGCAGTTTTTAGCGTTACAAGCCCCTGTGGATTAAACCGCCTTTTGAAATGATGTACGTCGAAACCTGCGCCTCTCATTACCCGGCCTGGCGCACGGCAACATGGGGATGAAACAAGGACAGTGAATACACTTCCCCAGTTTTCGAGGTTGTCAAAACTGCATACGGCCATAACCAGTACCCTTTAGAATTGTTGGAGGTTGTCAAGACTTCATACAGCCATAACCAGTACCCCTTAGCATTGTTGGAGGTTGTCAAGACTTCATACGGCCATAACCAGTACCCCTTAGTATTGCTGGAGGTTGTCAAGACTGCATACGGCCTTTACCAGTACCCCTTAGAATTGTTGGAGGTTGTCAAGACTTCATGCGGCCATAACCAGTACCCCTTAGTATTGTTGGAGGTTGTCAAGACTTCATACGGCCATAACCAGTACCCCTTAGTATTGTTGGAGGTTGTCAAGACTTCATACGGTCATAACCAGTACCCCTTAGTATTGTTGGAGGTTGTCAAGACATCATACGGCCATAACCAGTACCCCTTAGTATTGTTGGAGGTTGTCAAGACATCATGCGGCCATTACCAGTACCCTTAGCATTGTTGGAGGTTGTCAAGACTTCATACGACCATAACCAGTACCCCTTAGCATTGTTGGAGGTTGTCAAGACTTCATACGGCCATAACCAGTACCCCTTAGTATTGTTGAGGTTGTCAAGACTGCATACGGCCATAACCAGTACCCCTTAGAATTGTTGGGGGTTGTCAAGACTGCATACGGCCATAACCAGTACCCCTTAGTATTGTTGGAGGTTGTCAAGACTTCATGCGACCATAACCAGTAGCCCTTAGCATTGTTGGAGGTTGTCAAGACTTCATACGACCATAACCAGTACCCCTTAGCATTGTTATAGGTTGTCAAGACTTCATACGGCCATAACCAGTACCCCTTAGTATTGTTGGAGGTTGTCAAGACTGCATACGGCCATAACCAGTACCCCTTAGTATTGTTGGAGGTTGTCAAGACTGCATGCGGCCATTACCAGTACCCCTTAGTATTGCTGGAGGTTGTCAAGACTTCATTCGACCATAACCAGTACCCCTTAGCATTGTTGGAGGTTGTCAAGACTTCATACGGCCATAACCAGTACCCCTTAGTATTGTTGGAGGTTGTCAAGACTGCAGGGCCTTAACCAGTACCCCTTAGTATTGTTGGAGGTTGTCAAGACAGCATGCGGCCATAACCAGTACCCCTTAGCATTGTTGGAGGTTGTCAAGACTGCATACGGCCATAACCAGTACCCCTTAGTATTGTTGGAGGTTGTCAAGACTGCAGGGCCAAAACCAGTACCCCTTAGTATTGTTGGAGGTTGTCAAGACTGCATACGGCCATAACCAGTACCCCTTAGCATTGTTGGAGGTTGTCAAGACTGCATACGGCCATAACCAGTACCCCTTAGCATTGTTGGAGGTTGTCAAGACTTCATACGGCCATAACCAGTACCCCTTAGAACTGTTGGAGGTTGTCAAGACTGCATACGGCCATAACCAGTACCCCTTAGTATTGTTGGAGGTTGTCAAGACTGCATACGACCATAACCAGTACCCCTTAGTATTGTTGGAGGTTGTCAAGACTGCATACGGCCATAACCAGTACCCCTTAGCATTGTTGGAGGTTGTCAAGACTTCATACGGCCATAACCAGTACCCCTTAGTATTGCTGGAGGTTGTCAAGACTGCATACGGCCATAACCAGTACCCCTTAGCATTGTTGGAGGTTGTCAAGACTGCATACGGCCATAACCAGTACCCCTTAGCATTGTTGGAGGTTGTCAAGACTTCATACGGCCATAACCAGTACCCCTTAGAACTGTTGGAGGTTGTCAAGACTGCATACGGCCATAACCAGTACCCCTTAGTATTGTTGGAGGTTGTCAAGACTTCATACGACCATAACCAGTACCCTTTAGAATTGTTGGAGGTTGTCAAGACTTCATACAGCCATAACCAGTACCCCTTAGCATTGTTGGAGGTTGTCAAGACTTCATATGGCCATAACCAGTACCCCTTAGTATTGCTGGAGGTTGTCAAGACTGCATACGGCCTTTACCAGTACCCCTTAGAATTGTTGGAGGTTGTCAAGACTTCATGCGGCCATAACCAGTACCCCTTAGTATTGTTGGAGGTTGTCAAGACTTCATACGGCCATAACCAGTACCCCTTAGTATTGTTGGAGGTTGTCAAGACTTCATACGGTCATAACCAGTACCCCTTAGTATTGTTGGAGGTTGTCAAGACATCATACGGCCATAACCAGTACCCCTTAGTATTGTTGGAGGTTGTCAAGACATCATGCGGCCATTACCAGTACCCCTTAGCATTGTTGGAGGTTGTCAAGACTTCATACGACCATAACCAGTACCCCTTAGCATTGTTGGAGGTTGTCAAGACTTCATACGGCCATAACCAGTACCCCTTAGTATTGTTGGAGGTTGTCAAGACTGCATACGGCCATAACCAGTACCCCTTAGAATTGTTGGGGGTTGTCAAGACTGCATACGGCCATAACCAGTACCCCTTAGTATTGTTGGAGGTTGTCAAGACTTCATGCGACCATAACCAGTAGCCCTTAGCATTGTTGGAGGTTGTCAAGACTTCATACGACCATAACCAGTACCCCTTAGCATTGTTATAGGTTGTCAAGACTTCATACGGCCATAACCAGTACCCCTTAGTATTGTTGGAGGTTGTCAAGACTGCATACGGCCATAACCAGTACCCTTAGTATTGTTGGAGGTTGTCAAGACTGCATGCGGCCATTACCAGTACCCTTAGTATTGCTGGAGGTTGTCAAGACTTCATGCGACCATAACCAGTACCCTTAGCATTGTTGGAGGTTGTCAAGACTTCATACGGCCATAACCAGTACCCCTTAGTATTGTTGGAGGTTGTCAAGACTGCAGGGCCTTAACCAGTACCCCTTAGTATTGTTGGAGGTTGTCAAGACTGCATGCGGCCATAACCAGTACCCCTTAGCATTGTTGGAGGTTGTCAAGACTGCATACGGCCATAACCAGTACCCTTAGTATTGTTGGAGGTTGTCAAGACTGCAGGGCCAAAACCAGTACCCCTTAGTATTGTTGGAGGTTGTCAAGACTGCATACGGCCATAACCAGTACCCCTTAGCATTGTTGGAGGTTGTCAAGACTGCATACGGCCATAACCAGTACCCCTTAGCATTGTTGGAGGTTGTCAAGACTTCATACGGCCATAACCAGTACCCCTTAGAACTGTTGGAGGTTGTCAAGACTGCATACGGCCATAACCAGTACCCCTTAGTATTGTTGGAGGTTGTCAAGACTTCATACGACCATAACCAGTACCCCTTAGTATTGTTGGAGGTTGTCAAGACTGCATACGGCCATAACCAGTACCCCTTAGTATTGTTGGAGGTTGTCAAGACTTCATGCGGCCATTACCAGTACCCCTTAGTATTGTTGGAGGTTGTCAAGACTGCATACGGCCATAACCAGTACCCCTTAGTATTGTTGGAGGTTGTCAAGACTGCATACGACCATAACCAGTACCCCTTAGTATTGTTGGAGGTTGTCAAGACTTCATGCGGCCATTACCAGTACCCCTTAGCATTGTTGGAGGTTGTCAAGACTTCATACGGCCATAACCAGTACCCGTTAGCATTGTTGGAGGTTGTCAAGACTTCATACGGCCATAACCAGTACCCCTTAGCATTGTTGGAGGTTGTCAAGACTTCATACGGCCATAACCAGTACCCCTTAGTATTGAACATCCACTTACATGTACGTAATGGAGATGAGAAAAGTACTTTCGTCTGGAAATATTGCAAAAATTCCAGTATTTCATAATGTAATCATAATCCCTTCCGGTTTTGTTCACTTTATTACAACTAAATCAGTAATATGTATATAGCAAACACTATCGATACAAGCCACTTGAAATTAATAGTGTTTCTAAACACATCCGAGAACTATCGATATTTCGTGGACAGGTAATAAGGTTCCGTCGACTCAACAGATAAGACTGCGTGTTACCACCGAACACCTTTTGGTTAATAAAACCTCCAAGAGTTTCCTCCCTTGGTAGCAGTTCACGAGCTCAGTTTCGCCAGAGCTATATTTAGCTTTTACGTAACAACACGACACTTCCTGGAGCTGTTTGATAGGCATGTCGACACTCTCCCAACTCGTTCACAATCGGCCGTTTACTGATTTACAAGTGTTGCAAAATGGTTAATGTATTGAAGTGAGCAATTCACGGCGTGAATGTTTCTTTGAAGGAATATATTTCCTGTGAAGTTCAAATTCGTAAACTGTATTTTCAATCTAGATGAATACAATAAATAAATATTAAGTACAAGTATTAAATGTATTTATGTATTTATGTTTGCATTCTCTGTGAGGGCAAACGTGAATCGGTATTTATTTCATATACGCTGCATTTTCGCCGACATGCACAACGACAGTATGAATAATAGAATATGGGTAGTCATATATATATCGTGCCCCGCCCTGTCCTCGCTGGGTGTCTTATCACAACGATAAATGAATGTTCGTCTTACAAACTGCAGGACACGGTGCACGAACACTGGGCCAACATGAGTGTTTGTCTAGTATCACGTGACTAGCGTTCCGGCTTCACGCACCTGTGAAGAAAACCTCGGGACCGTTTCAAAGATGTCAATTGAAACCATTAATTATTGAGTATACAGTCCCGGCACCAACTGTTCCAAACAAACAATTGAACAAATACAACTACCTGACGGTTTGAGAGTAAAACTGACAACAGAATATTATCTCAGTGAAGTTTGTGGTAATGTGATTTGCTGCTCATGACATGGTCCCCCAACCTTGATGTACATTAACCAGCTGATGAAACGTCACACGGGGAAGGAATAAAAGCTGGAAACTGACGAAAGACTTAGCCAAAATTTCAAACAACCTATAAATCCTATATTTATACAGAATACTGACGCTAACATTCATATCGTTGTCTTCTGTGCTGGCAACAACCTGGATCTATACGTTTGTGTACAAGATTTTCATACAGGAACGATTTCCCCTGGTCGTAGATCGTCACCTTGTACCTTTGAAATGAAGACAGAGAAATGTGGAAGTAATTTTTCGACTATACGTGGACCCTGTCTGTGGTTTGATCCTGGGCTGGGATTATGGCGTCACCGGCCCTACGCTCCTTCTGTTGTTGTGAATTTTATGTGGTTTCCAAATGATGGTAGTAACGGTGAAACTATTCACGCTAGAGAAGACGATATTCCTGGAGACACTGACGCTCGGTGTAGACAGGACAGCGGGGACGAGGGTCTGGAGGAGGGGTGGTGGGAGTGGGTGTGGAGCCACATCCCTGTGATTGGAGCTTCTGTCCACAGAGCAACACACTGGATCAGCGATGTCTGGGAAGATATTCATTACCATCACCAACGACGTCACAATTGTAGACGCTGTCAACGCCGGCCGTGGTCATTTTTGTGCGGACGACGTCATCGCCGTTGTAGTCCGCGCCACTACAATGGACGCCTGGGATATTGCCGTGGTGGGTGGGGGTGGGATACCTGGTACGACGAAGACGTCCCTCGGCGCTGTTTCACCCACCACCGCAGCCCCTGGTGGGGTTGACGTGAGATGGCATGAAAGCTGAAGTTGTCCATGTCATGAAATGGCGAAAACCATTCCGGTACATATGACCCTGGCCAGTATGGATATGCTGTTTTTCAGAAAGTCTACAGAGGAAGAACATTACACTGAAACCCCTTTAATCCGGAAATTACCTCTTGTGAAATCATCCGGATAATCAAATGTCCGGATACGCTGTTTAATCTATCCTTGTTCTAAGTAGGAACTCTTTTTTATATGCTTTGTAAAACAGAAGTCAGCGGGGCGGAGATATTCCAGATTAACAAGGTTTAACATCACTGTGGCGTGTTGGGCTAATAGGATGAACGGTCGTTTTACACAAGAACGGTGTTCAGTATACTTAGGGTAGTTCTGTGATCATTATACAGGACATACACGTGTACAGGGCCGACATCTGGCGTGGATGCTCCTGTCCCCAACACAGACAATGTATCACAATCAAACAGTGATATATAATATGAACCCAGTGTCATATCCTTTGTCATATAGTACACCATGGGCCTCGAACTTGCGGAAGCGAAACTGGAAACACGTGATCCACGATATTTCCATAAGGTGCGTGTGGATTACTGACTGAATGCTGACTGGCGTGGATATATATGTGCGCGGTTGTGATGTAGCTGTGAGACGGATGCTGTGTATAGTAATGTGTATATCATCCCTAACACCAGTGTATATTTATGTATAGATCATCCATAACACCAGTGTCTACTTTCCATTTCTATTCGCCACGTGGCTTGGTCACGGAAGTATATCGTCACCACATGGCACACGGAGAGTCTAGGAGAGTTGGGTTCATGCGCTGTTTATAAGAGTATATTTCATTAATCTCTGAATAAATTATTTACATTTGTTTTGTTGCATGCATGGTTTTGAACACATTGTATACGTCAGTATATACCCACCAGCCGTGTAGATATACCCACCAGCCGTGTAGATATACCCACCAGCCGTGTAGATATACCCACCAGCCGTGTATATATACCCACCAGCCGTGTATATATACCCACCAGCCGTGTAGATATACCCACCAGCCGTGTATATATACCCACCAGCCGTGTAGATATACCCACCAGCCGTGTAGATATACCCACCAGCCGTGTATATATACCCACCAGCCGTGTATATATACCCACCAGCCGTGTATATATACCCACCAGCCGTGTATAAACATGCGTGAGCGAGTGTGGTCCTACGCCGTTTTAATGTACCACTTCGGGGGATATCACGATCAGAAATGGGTTTGACATATTGTACCCAAGCGGGGAATCGAACCCGGGCCTTCGACGTGACTATATAAGGCCTTAGCCACAAGGCTTCCCTCGTAATATATCTAAATCCCCTGCGTATATCCTGCGGCCGTGGGTCTAGATTACCAACAAGTCTCTGAAATGAACATATTTTACAGAATAAAATTTATATATCCGTTTACTACACGTAGGCTGCCTTGTTCAAATCCTACCACAAGTGTCGTAAAAACCCGCTCTGGACGCTGTGCTGTATACCCTTCAATGACGCTGGGACTGGACTGGACTGGAAGTGTAGCAGTTAACTTACTTACTCTGATCAATATCCAAACTGACAGGAGCATATCCATGTACGTTTTCCCCAACACTAACAAGCCAACGAAGCGTGTTCCACAAAACATTATAAAGTGCGCGTACACAGAGTCGTGCAACAAGTATCCGGACACTTCACGTACTTTCCAAAGACTTACATGGTAATATAGTGTAGCATTAAATAATCTTCATGAATTTAATTTTCGTAAGATCCAAGTCAAATTTTGCACATTTGTGAGGAATCATCTTACCTACAATCACATAATTTCTGTTTAATTTTCCGTCGCTTATTTATCAAATGGCAACAATTTCATCAAGATATGTACAATGCCGTGAGCTCCTTTAACATGGCGGCCTACGGGATTGTGCATTGAGGAACTACACTTAAGTTGATAAATGTGATGTCATTAGTTGAATGGTGGTTGGGAAAATTGAACTGAAATTATGTGCGCAGAGCAGAGATGATTTCAAATTTGCCTGTCATTTTTACAAAGATCCATCCAAAACTCACTTCATGAAAATTACTTATGCTGCACTGAAATAGCATGTAAGTCTATGGAAATTACGTCAAGTGTCCGAATACTTTTTGCGCGGGTCTGTAATTACCGTTATACGCATCTGGACACACCATGACGGTGATTAAACTCTACCTAGGATTTAAACAAATAAATATTGAAAAAAATCCTATTGGAAAGGCAGCAGCCTGTCTACACACAATGTTGCTGTTCATCTGGTTGTCCCATTATATATACAGGCTAACGCTGCACCTGAGTGGAAGTTTTGTGGACAAGAGATTCTAATTCAGGGTCGAGAGATTTGTCATAGATGGAATGGTAAGATAACAATTTATTCCCAAACATCTACACGACTGTTCAGTTGAACGACAGTTCATGAGAACTAAATCGCTGAGACTGAGAATAAGTACCGATATTTTGGAAAGCTTGGAAGTGTTACAATGTTAGTTCAGCCCAGCGTTGTGATATCTAGATACATACAAAGTTAATGCGTACATATGTGCATCCATAAACAATTACATATTGTTGTATACAGGCACACATCATGCATGCTTTTTTCAAATGTATTATGGAACACCATATGTATACACACACACACACACACACACATTTCTCCTCTACACACATTTTTCAGTTTATGTAATTCCAATAATATAACCGTTTTGTTTTATTTATTGTAGATGGCAGAGGTTGAATTCCACATCACAAATGTGAAACGAAATGGAAACAATCAAAAATCAATTATCTCATTTACGCTGGATCAAGCAGAGAATGCTATCTCTCAACACTTTGATATTCCACTCGGGTTTCAGACCCAACTATATTCGGATAAGTATTCTGATTGGGTAGACATTTCCTTAAATGATCCAAAATTGCAAGGGGGAGGTAAGCTAAGGGTGATGAGTACTCGGAAAGCTGTTGATGTCAGCGAGAGAGGTGACAACCCTCTGTGTACGACAGCTGGCCCACAAGAGGTTCCAACCGTTATGAACGAGACACCAGCGACCTGCACATGTACGATCAAGACATCTGTGAGGTATGTAATTAATAGCATTGATTCACACGCACATGTTAAAGCAAAAATACTATGCCCGGCTATTCTAGAAGTAAGTGATGTGAAACCTTTCATCAATTGTAATGAAGAAGTAGATTAGCGATCAGTAATTTGTCATTATTTACACCTTTAAGTTATGGAATGTTTCTAGAAGAAATACATTTGCTCGCCCAGACAATGCAAATGTTGATAAATTGATGCCATTGTTTGATAATGTTTCTGTATGCACATAACTATGAACTTATGATAAGGCTATTCGTATGATAATTAGCATTAAATATATCAACAGATGCAATATGAACGTTTACTTTTTTATTGTCACAAAGTATTTTATCATCCACAGTACCACGAACATTCAAACATCGCCATGGCAGTCACCCTATACACTGCCGGCAGCCCTTCCAAGAGGTGCGGTTGACGTTTTGGATAATGGCGGCTTCCCAAACCAGGGTTCAAGAAGCCACCTTCTCGACTCCATTTACAACGATGTGTCTGTGAAGTACACACTGTAAGATATCAGCATTATATTGGTTATATGTGTTTAACTTACGGTACAATTTACAGTAATAAGTTCCCATTCAATGATAAATCTCAAATTATAACGTATCTGTAAAGCCAGTAATATCATTGATAAGAAATTATTATTTTTTTCTTATTTTCTAGATATCCTCTGTCATATCAATATAATGAAATGATCGACGCCATATTTCAAAGATGGCCTCATTTGATGACCGAAGACGGTTTAGAAGGTAGCAGCACTAGAGTAAGTTTATGATTTGGTTTGTTTAAAAATAGATTGGGCACTTGGTTTCATCTCAGTAGAACCCTCTCCTTACAACTGAATCGTAATGTTTTATTTAAGTTAACTGACAAAGTATATTTATGCTTGTGTACCCTACTACACACCGATAGTACAGTTATCTTGCGGTTATATTAAGCTGTTTCCATAACCAATGCATGACTGTTTTGTTTTACTCTCTTGTCGCAAAGGTGCTCTGGAGAGCGAGGATCCGTGACAAATTTATCAACAACCGACGAAGAAAGGATTCAAATGTGACGTGTGTTCAGCAACGCAAACGTAAGTCTGCGAACAAAGTTGTGCTTGAAGAACCCTCTCCTTCTAAACAACCCAAGATGTCCCTGCCTGTTGGAGAAGATGACCACAGCATCCATAGACATATACAGTGGATGAAGCAGGAAGCCAGAGCACGAAAACCTGATCGCTCCAAGATATCGCTACTCATGAAACTCACTTTCAGTACCAGAAGAAAAATGGTCACATCAGGGGGAGCAACTGTAAAAGAAATTCTCGACGAATACCCTTGGCTTGCTAATGAGGATGAGGTATATATGAACTCTACATGAATCTATCGTGTGTAAAAACGTTTGCTTTTGGAATGGTGCATAAAGCCTATCTAGTATTCTACTAAGTGAAAACTGCGGACCACACAACGACGTTGTTTCGTCGTTTTGTGTTGGCAGGGTATACACTTAACATTAAAAGTGTATTACACATATACAAGCTAAAATCTATATTAAGTGCTTTATTTATCTTCTTATGAATGAATATATTCCACGAAGCCGATAACTTTTAATACAATACTTAGTCATATTGTATAATTTGTTACAGCCACTCAAAGTTAACAACAATAATACAAGTTTTGGTTCTTTTATGTTATCATAAAACGTTTTATGATTTCAGATCTGTGAAGAATACTCTCGACTCACAGGGACTAACATCGCAGACAATGTAAACTCTGGACTGGGAAAGGTGTCTGAAATAATCTATTACCTAATCAGAAATTCATCGAAAGTTGAGGATGACATCAAAGCCTTGATGAAAGACGTGGACAAAAGAACTGATGAAACAGAAAAAATGTGTAAGCATGTTTTTTCCTGTTTCAGTGGATATTGCACAAATGTAGCTGTTCACCCTGTTGGTCCCTGAAAATAAAATCTTTAAACAATTTTTTAAAATTATTTAACTGATAATTGATAATTTTATGCAACCTGTAATTTGGACACATTTTGAAAATTACAACTTTCTGGAAACCTGATATTTTGCTATTAAATCATCGTGTAACCATGTGTTCAGTCATGCCTACAATTGGTTATGGTAATAGTGCATCAGTCATATTATGATCTATACTGTTTGTACAGATGCAGTACTGGCCACAGTCATCCTCGGTCTTCCGGGACTCTTAAGAGAAGAGTCTAAGACCTTCATTGCAGAGGACTGGCAAGTGAGTTACACTGGATATTGTTATATTGTTAAAAAAGTATTTATGGTATGCATATTTATATGTAGATAAATATTGATATAAGTATGTTTTATACAATCAGGCCGCGTTAATCCGAACATTTCCATTTTTCAAAAACACGTTTCGTATACTGAAACTAACCATTATGTAAAGGTGGTGATAGAGTTTTGGGGCCACTGGGACCAGAAGAAGGTCTATGTAAGCCATTAATGTAAACCACTACAGTAGAGTTACTTCCCTTTGACATACGGAGACAAGAACGTATGAACCTATACATATACATATATTAAATGAATTTATTACAGTTTATATGCATAACAGTTAATCAATCAATCAATCAATGCATACAATAATGTCTGGATATAGTACAGTATATGTTTATTCATTTAAATTAAGTGGCGTAAGGGCTGACCTCTTGCACGGCCTAGAACAAGCTATTTCATTTTAATTTACAGGGTGCAAATACCGTGCCATCCTTCATTGTCTGCGATGGAGGTGCAGAGGAGGCCTTCACCGACGTGTCCATTTTTCATGTGTATTCTGAGGGCCAGAAAGTCTGCACTACCGACAATATCATAGATGCCTTGAAGGTTTACCTTGCAGTGTATTATGTGTTTAATTTGCAATATCCCCAAGGTCTCAGCAAAACTCATCTTTTCTTCGACAAAATGTTGCTGAAAATCAAGAATAAACCTATGGGTAGAAAAACCTTGAAAACCAAGAGTTTTGAAAAATCGGTCAATTCCCTTATTTCAAAACTAAATGCAACAAATTGAATGTTTTGACAACAGAGTCAATTGTAACATTGGGTAATTGTCAGAAAGACCACAACACTGAAACTAAATATTTTATAACATATGTTATATTTGGGATTAGACTTTCTTAGTGCAGTACAGATTCTAGTACTGTTGTTGGGTTGAGTCCCATCCCGGATTCGAACCCACACCCTCAGAGTCAGGTACCTATTCGCCAGTACATAAAGTCAGCCACCTAACCCCCTCAGCCAGCACTTTCTAAATGGCATTGTGTAATCATAGCTTTCCGCTGAGAGCCTGCCAATTTACACTTATCAGAGGGGTACACAAAATCTGCAGTCAAGACTACCAGTTGTCAACTTCCATTTTTGTGGAAGTCGCGGTGGCTGAGCGGCTGACTTTGTGTGCAGGCGAATAGGTACCTGACTCTGAGGGTACCTAAATTAAAAAGGAGTCCCAGAGAGACCAGAGATTCAGAACCTGAAGAAATCTAGACTTGCTTCAGTTTGGGCTTTAGCATTGCAGAGAGGGCTAGGCAGTAGGGAAATAATATGGTTCAGAGACTGTGAAACAGACTAGTGTTTGATCTGTAATAATGCAGTATCATAAAGCATTAGGTTTAATGAAAATGTTACAATTGACCCTGGTATACCCTACAATTCAGATATGTTTTGCTTGAATACTCAAAATTGAAACAATACCAACATCATAAAGCAGGTGTGCATGCATGCTAGGGTGGGGGTTGTATTATTATTACTTTTAATTATAGGAGTTTAAATGGAATTATTTTTCCTGAATGTATGTGTATTGCTGAAAAGCTATGACATGTTGTTTGCATATCGTCGTCTAAAAGTAAATACGAGTGAGTTTCAGATGTGACGGGGTTTTTTAAACAATTAATTCTAAAGATGATAAAGAAAGACAATTCTTTGTGTAGAATTTGAGAAATGTCGTGATATCTTAAAATATGTTCCATACTCACAGTAGACAGAAGACAGTAACCACATGCAATGACATTAGTGTGTTTATTACCATGACTTTCTAATTCAGGACTCAGTAGAAAATTATTGTATCAAAACTCATAACTTGATTCATATAAAGTACTGTGAGATGTCTATAGAGAGGTAACGTTTGAAGCTGAAACAAAGTTTGATGGTATTGATGATTTTTCATGCCATGGGAGTACAAATTTCATGATGAAATATTTTGTTTGTGATTGTAACTAGTGAGTGTGTCCTTCATATTGCAAATTAATATTTCTTTAGAAATAATATTTATTTCGATTTTATCTCCCAGTTTAGTACCCTGCAGCACGGTGGCGTATGATGTTTTACTTGATCTAGGTGAAATTTACGGCTGTGGCCTATGGCCGTGTGTCCCTGAGTGACTCGTGTGTGCAGTAAGCCATGGCTGATAAGGTGTCAGGTCATTAACAGGGTATTTGATTGATTGGCAGATTACTAGCATTATATGACATATAAGAAATACATAGAAGAGAAACAAAGGTAAAAGTTTCATATATACTGCCCATCAAAAGTTTAGACTCATTTAAAGAACTCACTATAAGTTATCTATATATATGGTTACATCGAAGATGAATTTCTCTACACGTTGGGTGAACCAACTGCAAACCTTATGCAGATGGGCTGCAAGAGGATCATGCATGAAATAGCTGAAAAGCATGTGCAAATATCATGTATGTGAACAGCTGCGTTTAAGTGTTGAGGTTTCATAAAAATTCGCCAATTTTCACTGAGTTTCATCATTTATTGAACTCATGACAATAATCTTTCCAACATTACGAATTTGTTTTACAATACATCAGTTAATGTGTAAACAGTACCTTTAAAAAGTATGGAATATTTTACAAAATCTATTTCAGATCAGTTGCCAGAAGTAAGTGGCTGCATTTACACTAGTGAGTCTAAACTTTTGATGGTTATATAGTATATTTATTTTCTGATTTCTCAGGTATGGTCTCATGTGGTATATACATGAATTGTACATAGACATATACTATAATATATATATATATATACTTAGTATATGTCTATGTCTATGTACACACACACACGCATATACATATATATATGATTAGTCTCTGAATATATGTACTGGACAAAAATAGTAAGGCATATACGTATATAAATTTTGAAATTATAAAGGTAAATTTTGAAATTATGAATAATGGTCTTTTTATTCATTGACACACTGATAAAATATAAATCATAAAAATACCAGTATCCCTAACTTATTCTGTTCAGTATATATAATATATATGGGTTACAACCATATACACATGTTGTTCATGCACTAATGAAATACAGCATACATGTTTGATTGTTTAGAAATAAAAGATATCGTTCTCCACACAAGTGTTCATGTTTATGTTCACAAGTCAATGCTTATTTCGACCTAAATGCATGAATTGAATGGTATTTGCATTCAGAATCATACTCACTGTACGGTACTTATGTTGTTTGCCATTGGATGTGTGTTTTTTTTATGCCATTGTGAATTGTGACAATCGAAATATATTCATATTGACATTTTTTTACATTGCCAGTTTTGAATATATAAAATATTCAAATTGAATATGGCTGGACAACAATTTGACTATACAACCATGTGAATGACAACCCAAATGCATTGTCAAAATACTCCAGTTGTTACCTAAGGCACCCCCGTTTGACAACTTTTTAGTTGTCAAATTGACAACGTTTTATTTACAGTGTTGGGCTGAGCCGTTCGACGCGGCCACTGGTCCGTTTGTCCGAGACTACTGAAAACCAGGAGAGACAAGGGAGTACTTGTAGTGGTTCGAGGGATTTATTCGGACAAATGGAAGCCCAGATCTGCCCTAAAACGTACATAATTCAATCATAAACATCATGGCAGTACATAGACACAAGATAACGATATTACTTATAACACTTTTAAGATTTACAGTTCATTTCTGTATACTTTACAAATCCCTTTAGATAAAACATATTACACTTTATATAAAGATCATGCACATGCAATTGAACATAAATATATTACCTCGTCTCAGGGACGCAGGCTGGAATGAGTGATCGATGTACAGTGATAAGCCCTGCACAAATAAATATACTATATAAATATAGGATAATAGTTATGGTACACTTACGTTAGCATGTACAGAATACATTATACATTCCCAAAATAATATACATACATACATGATACATAGAATACTTCTAACCCGTTTACACATACAAAATAATGCATTATATATATCCTATGAAATAAACTTGGCATATACCTCTGTTGAATACACAAGTAAGTTGAATTAAACCTACCTTACCATATAATACACTACTAGCTAAAATACTACATATATATAACTGCTTAAAATACATAATAACCAAACCTAAGATGCCAGATACAGTGATAAATGAACTTACCCTATGTGATCTTGTGCAGAGAATGTGCTCACTGGCAGAAAGGAGAAATAGGCTGACTGACCAGCAAAAGTTTGAAGTAGTCACTCCACATGACTAAAACAATCATGTGGCCCCAGGGAACAATAAAACCCTAATCACAGGCCAAGCCTGTGACTGCCCGAGTGACAATACCCATGAACCTATATACTGTAACAGGAGGATGCTGTTTCCGGTCCTCAGGTCCGCAGGATTCAGGGGTTTAAAGTCATAATGATAACCAAACACAAGATTTTGTAAATCAAATCAATTTATTTTATACTCAACTAATATATATAATAAAATCAACAATAAACTAAGTTAATTAAACAACAAAGATAGTCAGTCTACAAGGATCCTGTGAAAAATGAAAACCCTATAAAATATACCTATTCTATTGCCCCTTATCCCAACTTAATTCCCCTAAATAATGTTCCCTGTAAAAATACAACAAAAATTAACTACCTAACATTATCTAACCAAAACTTAAGAAACTTAAAACTCTGTTTGCCCAGTCTACAGAAACAATAGTGAATTCCTCACCTTACTTGTCTCTGTAAGACCACAGAGTGCAGAGGAAAAAATAATCTACCCTTTTATACCCCTACCCTATAACTCTTACCCAATAAAAACCATGCTCTCAAAATTACCCAATAAATGCTTACAAAAGGAAAGTTCAGTGGACTGATCCCTTTGCTCATGAGATGCTCATGCACTGGCACACCCCATTGCATAATGGGGAAGAAGCATACTAGGCACTTGCCTAGCGGGTCCTCACCCCTCAAGAGCTAAATGGACTAGCCCACTGAAGGCTAAGCCTAGTGTGTTATTTTTAGCCCACCTTATGCCTAACCTGTCCCCTCCCTAAAACAAGCATGATTTCTACTAAAAAATAACCCTACCATTACATTCCCCCCTTCTTAAGATCTTTAAAAAACACACAAAAACCCCCAAAAATACACAACAACCAACAGAACACAAACAAAAGCAACAGAATTGATAATTTGTTTTGCTTTCTTTTCTTTTCTTTTTTTTTTCAAAGTCTCTTCTTCATTCACCACATCCACTCCTCATATTCAGGATGGAAGTAGTCTTGAGCATAGGGATTAACAAGTGGAGGAAGAGGCGGCATTCTTCGCACAATACTGATACACTTATCAGTCCCATCAAACAGAGGTCTAACCTCTGTGTCCCTGGGTGTCCCAGGCCCAGACATGGGAATCAAAGGCTGATCCCATGCCTTCTTTGCTATGTCCTCCCTAGACAATCGAAGCTACTTCTCTAGATGTGAGGTGATGGTTGACTTCGACCTCTGCTGTTTCTTTCTCATTCGTTTGAATGATATGCCTGAGCTTCAGGTGCCGATGGAGATCTGTTCTTTGCCCGAAATCTCCTTCCACATTCCAGACATGAAAACAGATGAACAAATGATGCGTGATATTTTTTTACATGGCGCCTCCGGGCCCTTGCTGAAGGAAACGGTCCAGCTTTGCACTCATCACATGGTCGAGAGTCATGGTCCCCTTCAAGCTCATCAAGCTCTGCCTGCGTTACACAAAGATCTAAGATGTCGCTCATCTGTAAGGAAGAGATGGACTTAACACAAGAAATCATGTCACGGGCATTTCTTATTCTGAACACGAAGTTCTATAACGCTATACCCCTTATGAAACCTTTTTCAGTTTCTCTTCATGATTGTTTATGTTGAGTCACC